GGCCATGACTTTGGAAGAAGGATTTCAGTCTAGGACACCAGTAATATCCCGCCACTACCTCCTAGACAACATGCTGACACTACTGGGTACCCCTATACCACCTCCATGAAATGGCGTCCAGCACAATGCCTGTAAGTCATAAGTATGAGTACCCGAGCCTTGGACACGGATGCGACTCATGGTAACTAGCAACATGGGTAGTATGGTATTGGTATGATTTGGTATCTCTATAGCATGAATCTGGTTGGTATTGGTGTGGCGATGGAAGAATTGGTATCTCTATAGTATGTATCCGATTGGTATGATGATGGGAAGACTAGTCCTGCCCTGCGTCAGTATGATGATGGGAAGAATGGTCCTGCCCTGCCACAGTTGACGTTACAGCTCCCGGGTATCTGATGTTTTAGGTGGGGGTGGGAGTCCCATACGAACGACTAGACGCTGTTCCTTGCCAGACCCTCTCCGACCTGAACACAACTGACAGCTGGAAAATCCCGAGGAACTGTCTAGGTCAACACCGGGATCGAATCCGGGACGCCATGGTTTGCGAACCAGTGCCTTACTCACTGAGCCACTGCGGATCCTGGTGTCCTACTCATATTAGCCCTTTGGCATTGTATCGGGAACTGTACTTTTCAGTTTTCCAAAATCACGACCCATCTGAAAATTCTCGTTATTACAAAATTAAATAATTGTCATATGAAATATATCAGACACATGAAATTATTACATTATATTCCATTATTTATAAAATTTCGAAAGCTCAAAACTAATTATTTTAACATTGTTTTTGTTAAACTTGTATTTAAACTTTCGTTGATCAAAAAACACGTACCCGAAGAATTGGTCTTCTTTCTAGAATAAAAAACATGTATATAACATTTTTCGACTATATTTTAGAATAAATAAATATTTTCACTTGAAAATGTTCATGAATCAAAACGTACACATATTTTCACCAAATTCATACCCGATGTTATTAAGAAAAATGCGGCAGTATTATGTAAAACAAATTTTATCGGTTAACTCCTTTACTAATTTTCCGCATTTTTTCGTTATACGAGGTTTCAAGCGGAGACCCACGAAATTGTGGACGGACGGACGGACAGGGGCGACGACATAATACGTCCACATGAAAATGTGGGCGTATAAAAACTGAATTAATCACTACTTTATATCCTAGATCTCAGTTTTGATGCTAGTGTTACATCGTTTTACATTTAGTATCAAATCTAGGCCTTAACTTAAAGATACATTATGGGAGATTAGATAAAGAATTGGCAGTTCTCACTATAATAGTTAACCAGGGGCTGCCAGGCAGGATACACCCACATTTTGCAAGAGATGGATAGACAACAAGCTAAACAAAGATAGGTTGCCAGGCAACAAAACATACACCCACAGCAGCTAAATCATCCATGCGGTCGACAAGAGTTGTCGTATATATTTATTCTTTTGTAGGTAATTAGCGGCATTTAATAGACATTTTCATACAGATGACATTATAATTTTCGTCGTTTGAGGGTTCACGAGGTTCTAAAAACTAAAACAAGGGCCGTAACTCTGGAAGTTATCTACAGAAATTGTTGAAATTCGACAGGCTTTTGATGGATATTAATTTCATACAAATCGGATGATAACTTTTGTCGTTCGAATGTTCACAAGGTTCAACAAAGTAAAACAAGGGCCATAACTCTAGAAGTAATTGACGGAAATTGCTGAAATTCAACAGGCTTCTTCGTTTCACTAATTTAAATGATGCAAATCAATTTCAAACAATGATAAGTGTTGTCCATTTTGTCTGTCAGTTTTGGCCCGATTTTCACGAAATTCAAACTCAACCATCCTTAGGTTGTAAAGGTGATATATTCAAACGTTTTTTTTTAAACGTTATTAGAATGTCACAATTAAAGATTTTTAGTTTTTTTATCAAACTCAAAGTTAAAAGAAAAGACACAAGTTGAAAAAGACATTGAGAAAAAGGAAAAGGATGAAGAATATGAAAACAATAAACAGTGATGCATTATTCTAGTTTGTTTTTTGTAAAATATGTTACAAAATGTGGGCAGGCAACAGTCTAGATGGGCAGGCAACTTTTATGGGTCACCTGCCCGACTGGCAGGTTAAGTTTGAAAGTTTTTTCAATCACTGGTCTGAAATGTGCAAATATCGACAGGGACTGAGATCTTGGTCAATAAACATATATTTTAAGTTTCAAAATCGGATAAAAATTGTGACCTCTAGAGCGGCTATTTTGTTGTGCAATTTTGTTTCGATTTGCCCAAAATTCTAATTCAATCTCCATTACGGTTTTTAAAATTGGATAAAAAATTGTGACCTTTAGAGAATCCACAAGTTAAAAAACTTGATTTGTCGTACAATCAGGGACCATTATCCAGGAAGTGACGGTCTGATATGTGCAAATAGCGCAAAGAACCAAGACCTTTAGGACATAAACATAAATTTAAAGTTTCATCAAAATCAGATAAAAATTGTGGCCTCTAGAGGCTCCACAACCTTGATATACTATATTTTTACACTATTTGAAGTATTTGGCCATTTTGTCCGGCAGTTTTACAAAATTCAAACTTAAATATCATTAGGGTGTAACGATGATATATTCACACGTTTTTTTGAATTGGATAAAAATTGTTACCTCTAGAGGGACCACAAGCTAAAAATGTGATTTTTCGTACAATCAAGGGCCATAATTCAGGAAATTAGGATCCCATATGCGCGAACACCAAAAGGACGCAAGATCGTTGGATTATAAACATACATTTCAAGTTTCATCAAAATCGGATCAAAATTGTGACCTCTAGATGGTCCAAAACCTTGATATACCCTATGTTTACACTATTTGCGTATGAGGGACGGCCATTTTGTCTGGCAGTTTTGGTCCGATTTTCACGAAATTCGAACTCAACCATGATTAGTGTATAACTGTGATATATTAGCACGTTTTTTTAAATCGATAATAATTGTGACCTCATCAAAATCGGATCAAAATTGTGACCTCTAGATGGTCCAAAACCTTGATATACCATATGTTTACACTATTTGCGTATGAGGGGCGGCCATTTTGTGTGGCAGTTTTGGTCTGATTTTCACGAAATTCGAACTCAACCATTATTAGTGAATAACTGTGATATATTCTCACGTTTTTTTAAATTGATAATAACTGTGACCTCTACAGAGACAAGAAGCTTAAAATGAGTTTTTTTGTACAATCAAGGGCCATAATTCAGGAAGTTATTATCCGATATGCACGAATATCAAAAGGAACTAAGATTTTGGGGTTATAAACATGTATTTCAAGTTTCATCAAAATCGGATCAAAATTGTGACCTCTAGAGGGTCCACAAATTTGATATACCAGATGTTTACACTATTTGCGTACGAGGGGCGGCCATTTTGTCTGGCAGTTTTGATCCGATTTTCATTCAACAAACAATACAGTGTAACGGTGATATATTCGAACATTTTTTTAAAATTTGGATAATAATTGGGACCTCAAGACGGACCACAAGCTAAAATTGCGATTTTTCGTCCAGAGGCCATAATTCAGGAAGTTACGATCCGATATGCGTGAATATTGAAAGGAACCGAGATCTTTGGGTTATAAATTGGCATTTCAAGTTTCATAAAAATCGGATCAAAATTGTGGCCTCTAGAGGGTCCACAACTTTGATATACCAGATGTTTACACTATTTGCGTACGAGGGGCGGCCATTTTGTCCGGCAGATTTGGTCGATTTTCATTCAATTCAAGCTCCGACGAAATTACTGTGTAATGGTGATATATTCGAACGTTTTTTTAAATCGGATAATAATTGTGGTTTCTAGAAAGTCCACAAGCTAAAAACGTGATTTTTTGTACAATCAGGGGCCATAATCCAGGAAGTTAAAGTTCAATATACCGGTACGCAAATATCGAAAGGAACCACGATCTTGGGGTTATAAACATGCATTTCAAGTTTCATCAAAATCAGATGAAAATTGTGACCTCCAGAGGGTCCACAACCCTGATACACAATATTTTGACACTATTTGCATCGATGGGCGGCCATTTTGTCCATTAGTTTCGGCCCGATTTTTACGAAGTTAGACACCCTTAGGGTGTAACAGAGAGAGAGAGAGAGAAATGGGGTTTAACGTCCACTCGACACAAACTAGGTCATTTCGGGACTAACATATGGTTTAATTTTATTTACATAATTCGTTTGTGCGTAGGGGTCTTTAGCAGTGGGAGGAAACCAGGGTGTTACAGTGATATATACAAATGTTCTTTTTAAATCGGATAAAAATTGTGACCTCTACAGGGTCAAAAGTGTAAAGAGGGGCCGCCCTTTTTGTTCGGCAGTTTAGGTCCAATTTCACAAAATTCGAACTCAACCGGTGATATATTTAAACGTTTTTTTTAGATCGGATAATAATTGTGACCTCTAGAGGAACCACAAACTATAAACACGATTTTTCATACAATCAGGGGCAATAATTCAGAAAGTTATGAACCGATATGCGCAAATATCGAAAGGAACCAAGATCTTTGAGTTTTATACATGCATTTCAAGTTTCATCAAAATCAGATGAAAATTGTGACCTCTAGAGTGTCCACAAGCTAAAAACGTGATTTTTTTGGTACAACCAGGGGCCATAATCCATGAATTTTATGGTCCGATACATGTCAATATCGAAAGGAAGTGAGATCTTTGGAAGATAGATCTATATTTCAAGTTTCGTCAAAATCGAATAAAAATTGTGACCTGTAGACGGTCCAGACGGACTAGGGCAACGGCATAATACATGTAAGTCCGCATATATAAAGGATTATATATTTAAATAAATGGTTTCCTACTATGGATTCATTTAATCTGTGATTGAAAATTGAAAGGATTGGGGTTCAGTAGAATGAATACTGGTAAAGGCAATTAATTTTTGATAATGTTTTTAATGGAAACTTGTTGGAAAAAAAAAAAGAACTTATTTCATAAATTTACCTCTTCATCCTTAAAAATAGGGAAATCTGTAATAAATATTTCTGGCACATAAATGATAATCATCTGTTCTAATAACATGTTCACAGTCATAACTCCAAACAACCAGAACCGAGCACCACTGGTTCGGGGTGTTGATGTCAACAGGTAACATAAAATAATAGAAAAGAGGTAATAAATTATAGAATAAAATCCAGAAAACTCTCCGAGCACTAAGGATTGCAGTTTCGAAACTCTGTCAAACACATCATTGATCAGAACTCTTAAATCTAACGCCTGATTAATTATTTTTTGTTGATTTTTCAAACTTTCATTCTGTTGTTCGATCATATCCATTTGCATACGAAATGATTCCTCAAGCTGTTGACCCACACGCGATGAACTATTAGATAACCTATCTATGGTTAAATCCATTTCTTCATGCCATATTTGGGCTTCGAGAAAGTAGCATATGTTTTGGGTGTGCGTAAACATTGTTGTGAATGAACCTCTATCTACATCAGCCATGTCTTGTGTGCACTTTTCGATGACATCATCCTGCTCACATTCATATGTCTGTCGACCTTGAATAGTTAAAAAACAGTTCAAATATGCTAAAGCTAAACGACTCTGAACGTCATCTGTTAATTTCTTACATCCATTTTGTATTTTCACCATCGCATTTTTCCAGCAGATACCATATTTTGGCATTTGTGAATTATGCTGTATGACTGCAAACTGTTTTCTCCCCTCTTCATATATTGATGAATCAATGTTACTGGGAGAAGAAAGGCACATTGCTATGAAAATCAACAGAAAACAGAATCCAGTAGTATGAATATATCCCATCCTGTCTTGAAGTTTTTCCTCTCTTCTGAAAATGAAAAAAAATACATATAGATCTAAAGAAAGCTTACCAGCCGATGAAATAGCGCCAATAGCAGCTATGTTGTCCCATCAGTCCATACAGACTGTCACATTTTTATTCTTAAAGTAGCTAAGTCTCTAACTCAATATCATCAAAAATCTTCGACATTCAAAACCCGAATTATTTGTCAACTTAAATCAACATTGGTCTTGAGATCTTACAGGGAAAAGATGGCCTTCTGATATCCAATATTCGAGACAAAATAAACATTTTGCCATTGGTACACAAATCGTGTACCATAATGCATTTCAGCGCCATTTGGAACAAGAAACTCAAAGAACGAGGATAGACATATTCCACAAGTCATGTCAAATGGGGAAGCTATATTCTTATCTGGAGAGCATGCGGAATAAATACTATCAATCATCAGTGTAGACTGGAATAACCAGACGCTAAAGATTGTCATTCAATTGAGACTTCTGGCGTATTTCGACGAACATAAATGATAAAAAATTACAGTAAAAACAGAAAAGATGGAATGTAAATCAGTTTATATACATTCATATTTCATTATTATATGCGTTGCTAGCCATTTTTGTCGATTTCTAAGTCCTAAATATTAGCAATTTAGCTCCTTTAAATTGGTAATGGAAGACACACCCCAAATTTATTAAGAGCAACAACCCATAAAAAGATAGGTTGCCAGGCAACGAAACATACGCCCACAGCAGATAAATCGTCCTGGCAGTCAACAAGAGTTGTCACATATTTTAAACTAAAATCTGATTAAGAGTAACAATCAGAAAATCATTAGAATTTGTTTGGTTTTTATAAAGTTCTGCCCCATGCTTACGTTTAGTATACAAAACATTTAATTTCATGAATTTAGCTGTATAAAAATTCATTGAAAATCAATATACTTGTTTGTCTCAAGACCTTAAACACTGTATAAATTTAAAGTCAATCGTATATTAACTTTGTCCTCTGGGGATCCACAAGATATTTTGTATTTTGAAGTGATCAAGTACCATAACTCTGGCAGTAATTATCGGAAATCACTGAAAATCAATAGGCTTCTTTGTCTCATGTCCTTAAACACAGTGTATAAATTTAAAGTCAATCGGATATTAACTTTGGCCTTTAGCGGACCGTCAGACCGACAAACGGACGGACGAGGGTGACGACAATATACGACCACATTTCAATGTGGGTGTATAAAAATTATAAGAAATAATTAAAATTTGACAGGCTTCTAGAACCGGTAAATCAAATAATAGCTCTAGTTGGTTGAGTATTTACATGTACATCAACAGAAACAGTTGGGGGGAGGGGCGGTCACAAATGGTTAACAAAAGAAAAATTACCTACAAGTGCAAAGCTAAAAGAATTTAATGTTTTCCTTCTGTGTGTAGGTGTGCAGCGAGAACCCATGGGAAAATGTGATAACACACCTGACATGATCTGAACAAAGTTAATTATCGATAAGTATAAGGCAAGAAATAAATAGCTACAAGAAGGGCACTAAAAACAATAATATGCCTGTCTGATCGATGTGTTTGATTTTTTTTTTGCCCTTTACTTTCAACTTGCAAACTCATTTTGATTATTAAAGATAATTTTATATTATTTTTACGAATTCATCATACACAGCATAGGACCACACTTTCGCAAGTACAATATTATCGGGGCAGACTGACTTTTCTGAGTGCTTTTCACTGAGTCACTGTATGAGTTGAACAGTTCTTCAATTGCATTAAGGGGGGTTGTCATTGAGTCGACTGGCGTGGTTTCGAATCCCCGGTTGTACATGGCAAGGAGTAGGGTCGTCTGTCCAACCTCGTGGGTTTTCTCCGGGTCCTCCGGTTTCCTCCCACTGCTAAAGACCCCTACGTGGAAGTGAATTATGTAAATAAAATTAAACCATATGTTAGTCCCGAAATGACCTAGTTTGTGTCGAGTGGACGTTAAACCCCATTTCTCTCTCTCTCTCAATGGCATTAGCTGCAATATTGTACTTGCATCCTGTCTTGTCAGCGGCTACAACTGATACACTATTCGAGGCTTTGAGCAAATAAAATTAGGTTCAATTGCAAATTTTTAAAACATATCATCACAGTTTGAATGGAAATAAATAATTATTTTACAAATAGTGAAGAGTGGAACACTAAAATCTTCTTGATCTTATCGCACAGTTTTTCAGTATTTTCGAGGTGATGCGAAATCACGTGCGTGTACTAATTCTAGTTTGGCGGCCATTTTAAAATAGACAGAAATTTCGCGTAGCAGTTGGGTTTTATCAAATCATATAATTATGCAGTACGGTTGCACCTTTATTTCAATGGGAATTGGTTTATTAATTTTAAACTATACTATTCAAAAAAAGTAGGGGATATTTGATTTTTAAGTGTTATTAAAGTCACCTAATGAAACTGACGAAGAAACAAATGACAAAATGAAATGAAGTTCACATTCATCGATTTATTCCAAATGATCGTTAGACTAAGTAAGGCACAGACTGACCATTATAAGGGTCAAATGATACCCGGGGTCAAACAGCAAAGTTACCACAGCATCACAACCAAGTCAGTAACGGGTAAATCCTCCTCTGTTTGCCAAACAAGCATTGATCCGACGTGGCATACTCCTAATGAGACGTCTAAGGTCATTTTGGTCCAGATTGTCCCATTCCTGTTGCAACGCAGCAGCAAGTTCTTGGACATTGGCAGGACGTTGTTGACGTTGACGTAACCTCTGTCCAAGCATGTCCCAGACATGCTCGATGGGGGAGAGGTCGGGACTCAGTGCTGGCCAAGGTAATGTGGTGATGTTCTGTTGTTGGAGGTAACCTGTAACGATCCTAGCCCTGTGACATCTTGCGTTGTCATCCTGGAAGATGAAACGGCGGCCATGACGTCGTGCGAACGGCACAACATGGACTGCCAAGATGTTGTCCCGGTAGTACTGGCCTGTAACACGCCCTGCAACAACATGTAAAGCCGTTCTTCCAGCAACAGTGATGCCTCCCCACACCATAACAGAACCACCCCCAAATCGATCATGTCTGATGACGTTAACGTCTTGGAAGCGCTCGTTTCGACGACGCCACACCCTCCTACATGTACGTCTGTCCAAAAAATCAACAGTGAAAACATCACATTGCTCCAGCGTCGATTATCCCAGTGTTGACGATCCCTACACCAACGACGTCTTGCCTGAATGTGATGATCTCTCAAACAAGGGATCACACCAGTGTCTGTTTGAAGACGAGCGCTGATCTGATTTGCTGTGATGACACGATTTCTCAAGGCCAAGGTACGGATAAATCGATCCTGGGCTTGAGTTGTCGCCCTTGGTCGACCTGAGCGTGGTCTGTCCTGTACAGATTGTGTATCACGGTATCTGGACCATAGCCTGCTTATGACAGACTGAGAAACATTCATCGTCCGCGCCACAACCGCCTGTGTTGTGCCGATCTGTAGCATGCCAAGGGCACGTAACCTTTCATTTTGGGTAATCCGACGCATATATATCAAAATTTGTTTTCTGGTCACTAAAACAATTAAACTGATGTTTCCACCCTGGAATTCAATGCCACAATGACTGTAACATTCAAAGTCAGAGTCGTGCAAATCTTGGGTTGGACCCCCATGATGATCCCAAGCATCACCTGCATTCCATGCGGTAGCTATTGGTGCGTTTGGGCGTCACATGTAACTGGAAATGTTTCTTCTGTTAGGTTCTATAGTGACTTTTTTCGTAGTCATTTGCATATTTTAGTATTATGCCCCCAAAATCAAATATCCCCTACTTTTTTTGAATAGTATATGTGCAGTACAGTTGTTATAGGCCAGTTACTTTTTTGTCATCAAATCATGACAAAACCTGCTCAAAGAAAGTCCTTAAAACGATCCACTACTGTGGCCAGAGCAAGATAGAAGACATCAGTACCGTAATGGAGCCATTTCTATCATTGCATCTGCCAACCTCATAGTCGTCTATGCATGTGTTCCGTTTGAGAAAAAAACATGCACATCAACCATCAATAAGGCTAGAAAAAGATTCATGCATTCATTTACATCTATTATCTAAAGACCATATTAATCAATAATTTATTGTGATCTTAGCGGTTACTTAAACTTTCAACTTTCTTTGTCTTTATAGACAGCCATGGTGGCTAGGTGAGTAAGACTCTGGCTCGCTAGCCCGGAGGTCGCATGTTCGATCGACTCGGCAAACCTCAGCAGATTCCAGTACCCTACATCTAGCCTTGGCTGTATGACGAAGTCCGCCATTGGAACTACTTTCAGGTTCCCGGATTACCAACGGCGTTGCCCATGACGACCCCTTCAATGAATGTTTTATCATACAAATATTTCAAAGTCTGATGCTATTTTTCTTTCAAGTTTATCCGATTTTCTTCAAACAAGGACAACTTTGCAATGAAAATTCTACACACGCTTCTAACGACGCAATTATGATAACTTCTTTTTAAAAGCGGCAAGTGTTTCTAATAAGTAAACCGGTGCTGCATCGCAATTGTATAGGCATAAGTACATATCACTTATCATCATACAGCCGAGGCTAGATGCAGAGTAACAGAATCTGCCGAGGTTTGCCGGGTGGTGTTTGATCCTTGCATTGGCCGAGAAAGTTCATCAGGATTTTCCAACATGGTTTCCCCTTCCTTGTCAGTGTTGCACGCAGAGGGCCTGACAGGGACAGCTGTCAAGTGTTGTTTGGATGGGACGAAAAACCAGGGTCCTGGGTATATACATTGGCATGCACTTAAAATAAAAATCACTTGGCAGTTGCAATTCGATATAATAGGCCATAGTGTCGCTGTCTGGGAAAAATGGACGAAAATAATGTAAATATTGGAAACAAGTGGCTCTGATACTGTTTTGCGCGAGTATTTATACAAATCAAAACGACTAGATTCGGAAGAAAAAAACATTTCTGAGTGAATCGGCAGAGGTTAAATAATAAATTGCCTGACATTACGAATTGTTGAATAAAAACCGAGCCGAAGCGAGAGCAGGTAAAATCGAGGCTTCAACAGGCATTGCATTCCTGTTCTTAACACAAGGTACAATTTTATGGATACACAATTACTGATTACTGAATTTGATACTTAGCGACGTTTCGACGAGGATACTCTCGTCTTTATCAAGTATCAAACTCAGTAATTGTGTATCCATAAAATTGTACCTTGTGTTAATATGTTCAATTACTAAATGCCAATCAAAGAAGATTCCTGTTCTTATTTATTATATATTGTCTGGTTGGGCATGGTGTATGGCGTATGCATATTGATATTATTAATATTATACGGATAGAAGAAGGTCAGACTCCTGTGAATTTTTATATGTACCGCCCCGGTAATGAATGTAATTGTAAATTGTAATTAAATTTTTTGTTTGGAAAAAACAGAGTCCTGAGATGAACTGGAATATTTAGAAGCTGGATAATAAATAATAATGAAATATATTATAAAATAGCACACCATATTACCTTAGCACTCTTTTTGCATTGAAAATTTTGAATAATAAGGCCAAAAATCAAAAACTGTAACAGGTCCTTTTAGTCCTACTTGCTTTTGTGTTATACATTAAGCTGAACACATCCTATTTTGTCATAGTAGGGTCTGGGTCTGCATCATGGGGAATCAGAAATATACATTATTCAAATCACACACACGCACACGCACACACACAAAATGGAATCATATGTTTTGATCATTCCTCGCAATAAAACAGTAAGACAAGCAAACACACTGTACTAAGTCAGATAAACGCCTTGTTTTAACGATATTCTACAGGGCTAATTTCTTATAAAGATTCTAAATCAAGTGCAACAAACACCACGTGACTGTCATGTGATACTTTAAAATGTCCTTAAAAATTGTGAAATCCTGCGTGTGATTGTGACCGGTCTTTGGTTTTTAGTTAAACCTACATTTAAAATCCAAAACCCAATGAACGGTTTGCACACGGATTACGTTAATTTTTTTTAATGAGATGGAAAAACTGCAGTATGCACCATTTAGTTGTGGGCTTGATGCTGGGTTTTGGCAAAAACTTTCTGAGAAAAAACTGAATGAATATGCACTCGATGAGACTCCCAGAGTTATTAGAGGTTTTTATTTTAATGGTAAGTAACTGAATACAATAACATCTCCTGCGAGGTCTACAATTATAATCATTATAGTATGTTGACCCAGCTACTTTTGACTTCCCCTAGTAACCCAAACCCTAACCAAGGCTAACCCTAAGTAGCCGAATCAACGTAGGCCTACTACTGCGCCAATTGAATTGGGGTCCAAAAAACAGTAGGCCCTATCAGTTTCTTCTTTATGGGGATCCAAAAAAACAGTATCAGTATCAGATTCTTCTTTATGGGGCATTTAGCAATTGATATACATACACTCAAAGCCATTAAAAACGCAATGCCAAATTCAAAGTTTATTTACTGCAACAACTTTTAACAAATGTACATAACAATTGACAAAATCGAGATAACAAGCATCTGTGGATAATTTCATGAAAGAATTCACTACAAATGCACAAAACTGAAATGTCAGAGAACCATGAAACTAAGCAGGGGTCAGTTGAAGTCAATATCGGGTATGTCCACCCTGAGCTAATACACATGCCTGAAGTCGCTTTGGCATGGACTGGACTGGCACAGATGTCTCACTACACGCTGTGGGATTGTTTGCCAATGATTTTGGAGTGCCTGTGCCAACTCTACAACAGTTTGTGGTGGTACGGCTTGAGTTCGATTGGGTTCATGTCGGGAGACATAGCGGGCCAATCCATAACAAGGACATGATGATTGTTCAGAAAGTCTCTTGTCAACCTGGCAGTGTGGTGTCGGACGTTGTCATACTGGAAAACCTTCTGTCGACGGACACCATGTTGAGCCAGCAATGGAAGCAACACTGGACAAAGGATGGTCTCAACATAATGTTGAGTGTTGAGATTGCCTTGGACCTCCATCAGCTGGGACCAGAATTTTACGTTGATACTGATAGCGGTGAAACCATGACGCCACCTCTCCTGAAATGATCCCTTTCTAGCACACAGTTACGAGCAAAGCGTTCATGTCTATGTCGGTAGATACGGTGACGTCCATCAGGAAAACTGAGGTTGAATCGGGATTCACCCGAGAAGATGACATTTTGTCATGGTGTGTTGTGCAGATACCCCTGATTTGCGGCCCGTTGCTGTCTGGCAAGTCGATAACGATGCAAAAGGATTTGACCTTGGTAAGGTTGACGACAGCGTAACCCAAGAGCAGCCAGGCACCTTCGGACTGTTTGAGGGCTAATCTGACTTTGCCGTGTTCCAACAGTTCCCCTGGCAGTAGCAAACTGGAACCAACCTGCTAAGCAGATGCTGTAATCGGTTGTGGCATTCTTGAGCAGCGGCTGTTACAGGTGGCGCTCCAGGTCGGGGTCGATCGGCAACTCTTCCAGTGGCGTGGAAGCGTTGTCTGAGACGATCAATGGTCGATGGGTGGACATTAAAGTGTCTGGCGACGGCTACCTGTGAAGCCCCCTGATCCAGCATGCCAATAGCTCTGTTCCTGTTTTCTTGTGTAAGGCATGGCATTTTTCCGAAGTGATGAATATTGAAATTTTGATCTGTATTTAAAGGGCCAGAGTGCAGGGAAAGCACGTCCAAAACGTGTGATATGAGATTGCTTAAAAACGTGAAAAAGAACAAGTGTTGGTTTGCATGAACAAAGTTCATTACCGAGAACTGATATTGGGTTCAAACCCAGAAATCCACAAAAAGAGACCCATCACAAGTTTCACTTATGTGCCACAGGATAGGAAAGCCCAAGAAAATGTTTACCAAAAATATTTCATGAATTAGGCATTGCATTTTTAATGGCTTTGAGTGTATTATAATAAAAACAATAGCGTAATAATATCAGATGTTTGTATGTATGATTGGTGGGTGGGTGGAGTGATTACATGACATTTCGGTCCTGCGACATTTCAGACTTACAACCTTTCAGACTCAAAGAAATATGGCCTCAATGTTTCAGACACGCGGAGGTGACATTTCAGACTCCGGTAGGTAACATTTTGAACTTGGGAATAAATTGAAAGGAAAGGTTGAACCCAACTGTCAAATCTATTTATAATAAGTCAAAAAGGATTGTATAAAACTAACATGCAGGTAAAATTTACCGTTTGCCATCAAGTACAGCACGTATAGACCTCTAATGAACGGCAATATTTCCAATGTTGAATGTTTATGAAAAGAATGTTGTATTTCTTTATATCTGCAGACCTATCGTGTTTGTATTTTTGATAAAAAAGTAGCTGATGAATTTATTTGAAATACATGTAGGACAATTCAAAACATGAAAGAACATGAAATATATGATTAATAAATCGCTCTACTAAACGATAAAACATTAGTTGCCATTATGGTCCCATAAAGGTAATATATTTTTAAAAAAAGAATAATATGCTGATGAATTTATTTGAAAATGACCTACATAAAAACAAAAGAAAATATTTAAACGACATGCACTGTCCCTAGAAATTTTTAACGATCATCTGTAGGTTGCTTATTGACATGTTTTCCTCAACAAGCTTGCCAAAGATGGCAGTACCAATCGATAAATTAGTGCATACAAAGAAAAGTCTTTTCGGAAAATATTAGAAATGGCAACAATCAAAGCGATAATAATTAAAGCTAATTAACCGATAATCCTGATGTTATTGTAATATGCGCAAAGAAACCTTATGGTTCTTTAATGGATCATGAAACATGCAAGTTATCAATCATCGATAATTGCTGTTGTTGATAACAATTATTGTGTTTCATTTAAGAGACATTTAGGCTTTCACAATTCCGGTTTCCTCCCACTGCTAAAACCCCCTATGTGGAAGCGAATTATTGAAATAAAAATAAAAACCATATGTTAGTCCCGAAATGACCTAGTTTGTGTCAAGTGGACGTTAAATCCCATTTCTCTCTCTCTCTTGCTTTCACAATTATAAAAACATTACCAGTGATCGGTGAATCAAGCTCATTTACTATTTGATAAAAGAAAATCAATTCTGTATTACTAAATATACACAAATTTTCAACAATATTTTATTGTGGAGTTCAGTAGTCACCGATTAAACAAAACAAGACACCACTAGCAGTGGTCTCAACAATCGCTGATCAATTAAATAAAACAAAAGACAACTAACAATGTTGGGTTGTTTGTTTTTGTTTTCCTATTAATGATATATACACACAAATTTTCAACAGTCTTTTATTTATTCATCTGAGCAATAAACCTAGTCTGAAATGTTGCCAGATCAAGTCTCATGAGTCATCAAGTAAGACCGAACTGTCGTCCATTTGATTCCGAAAGGTTATTTGTGTTGAATCCGCAAGGTCATTTCTGTTGAGTCTGAAAAGTTGTTTGTTTTGAGTCCAAAAGATCGCGGGACCGAAATGTTGTGCTACTGGTGTTGATCACAATATGTTGTTGTGTAAAATTTCCTATGAACATATTCTGATATCATAGGCCCACTGCCATCTTTATATTTTGTCTGTGTGGTAACAATAATTGTTTCATTATGTGATTACCTTATTACTTTGTTGCTATTTTCTTAATCACTAGTTGTAACAATGACTGCTTCATAATGCGATTACTTTATTACTTTGTTGCTTTTTTCTTGATCACTATAATTATATGTTTAACTAATGTTTCCAATTTTCAGGAGATCTAGCTAACTTAAACCCTCGAATAGTTTTAGATTATACAGGCTTTGACAGGTAGGTTATTAATAATGTTACATATATATATAATGAATAAAGTGACAAAATACATGCTAAATCTTTCTTTGTCAATATCTGACATCCACCACTTGCAGTGTTTCCTTCAATTAATCTAACTGCTTTATCAATGCATAAGTTTTATGTCTTATTGGTATGAGTAAAGTCAAGTAACCAATCTTCAGGTGGATATTTCATACTATCTGGTTAAATAAATCCAGTGATGTATTTATATGTGATTATCACTCATGTTTTTATATAAAATATCTATGACTTATCTCGTTTTAATTTCTTAACATTGTAATTGATTGGTTGTTCAAGCATTTGTTAATCAATTGTAATTTGACAAAGAAAATGCCATTCAGTCAAGCAAGGTCTACGTTGATGTTTCAAAGAAAAGTGATCAAAGAAGATGATCTTGAAGTTGGACAAGAAATCACCTGACAGGTAGTAGTCCTCTTCAGACATTTACAATGATAGCAATTACTTGTTCAAACCAAATGCCTGATAAATACTATTCTTTTCTTGCAGGCAGTTTAAAACACCCCCAAGATGCTTTCTATCTATTGGAACTCTTTACCTGAAAAATACTTTAGACAACTTTAAAGAATGTGACAAGAAGTTAATTATAGACCAAGTTGCTGAACAGGTATGTCATTTATTCATACTCAATAAATGCAAAATGTAAATATTAATAATACTTTGGTATACATTTTGTACCACTATCATTTTCAGTTATTTTTTAATGAGCATGTTCATTTTCAGTTGGACTTTTTATTAATAATTATATATAATGCTTTCATACCTAATCCAAATATTTATTTCTTTTGCTTAGATCTGGCAGGATATCAAGGATCTAAAAGCCGTTGAAGATCCATCCCTGTTGTCTCGTTTTGTTTTGCTCTCATTTGCCGTAAGTATCATCAGTTTCTTTTTGCTAATATCTGACAATATAAGAGAACTGGACAAAGTAATACTGACAATGCAAATTAAAAAAATATATATATCTGCACAAAGTTACCAAATCTAATATCAAATGTCAGAACAAAGTCAAAGCTGTTGTTTATGCGAACTTAAAACACAGTAAATACAGTTAAATTTATAGATATGTGCATAAAAATTTATTTATAAATTGAAAAGAATGCCGAAAATGTCTTAAAAAAGAAATTTGTATAATCTGAAGCAAATTATGCAAAAAATGGAATGGCAACATTTTGAAAGGAGACCTTAACATTCCTCTAAAAGATTATTCTAATCTTTTATGGTTAAAAGTCTTGCCAATTTTATCAGCTCTTCCAGTATAAAATATTTCTATTAGCTTTTATGTCCGATTGTTCACAACTAAAAAGAGATATAAGATCTTGAAAGAAAATGGCTATAATAAGCTTGTCCTATATTATTTATATCTGTCCCTGTAAAACTGTTTTATCAATCTGAAAGATACTGAATAGTTGTGTTTTTAATCTTTAGAAAATAATGTGATCTTTTTGAGTTGTTAACAACGGAAATTTACCATTTTATGTGAATGATTTCAGGATTTAAAGAAATATCATTATTACTACTGGTTTGCGTTTCCTGCTCTTATATATGATGTAAATTTACTATCAAAACCCACTTCATTAAAAGATTCTCTTTCCACAGAACAGGTAAATATAAACTTTTAGTTTTTTGAAGGTTTAATAGTTCATTAAATTCATTGCTGAAAAATATTTTTCTGTTTTCATTTTCATGACAATGTATTGTCTTAAGGTAGTGTTACAGCAGAATTTGCATTATTTTCATTTGTGGTATATCTGAGTCTGTATTTTTTAATGTTATAATCTACACCAATCCTCAGCATGTCAATTCCTCCAGCTTCCAGAAGTATTGAGTATTGGGGAGCAATAATGCGATAAATCTGAATGCAAGAGAATCAACACAACTGAAAGACGGATTGGGAGGGAAAAATCAACTAAAAAGAGGGACATAGTGTGCATATCCACCCGTACAACTAACTACCGCTCTTGCTGTCTTAATGAAGAATGAGTTCAATACATCATACTATGTCATCATCGGAAATGTCACGTGAGGATCTACACCAATCCTCACCATGTCAGTTCCTCCAGCTTCCAGAAGTATAAAGTATTGAGGAGTAATATTGCGATAAAGTATTCTATCTCCCGAACCCCCTTCAAACACATTAGGCCAGCATAACATTACCCTTTATTCCCAATACTCAAAACAAAACTATCAAAATATCACAAAAATCTCTTTATTCCATCGCAAATAAATCAAGAATAATTAAATAATTATAAATGTAACTGAAATAATCTTTGTTAAGTAACACTTGTTCAGCTGTCGAGTGTAAGTCAGGTGATGAGGGAGCACTGTCCCCAGTGTAATCCACTCTGGCTTAGTTTTGACTGAAATCAAAGTAGGGCCGAAAGTACGACTTCTCTCCCATTCTGGTAGAAATAAACACAGATACTGTAAACACTTCCCTGAAGTGATAATAAATTTCATTCTATAAAACATTTGAAAATGTCACGTGAGGATCCTTGTCCTTTTCTTAGATTAGTTTATCTACAATCAAGGTCATATGGTTGATGAAGTCGCCATTACTTCTTGTTTTAATGTTGAACGTTAATTCTTTTTTGCCCTGTAGTTCCTCACAAGATGTTAGTAAGCTTTTAATGATTATATTTTAGGAACCATCAAAATGCCATCATTTTATCTATTCTGAACCTTCACCATCAAAACCATTATCACATCACATCTTGAATAATGTAACATCATCATGATTAATTAAAGCCATCATCATCATGATTACATCATCATAATCACCACCATCTTCGTTAGCATGAATATTTGTACTACTCTACTCTAATCTGACGATTTGTGTTTTAACTGTTATAATGAACGATTTGATATTAACAACGAACGATTTAATTTAACGATAACTGCTTAACGATTAGTGCATTATATTTACGCATCTTATTAACGTATTGTATTAACGTCTTGTATTAACGTCTTGTATAAACGTAACGTATTGTATTAACGATTGATGTGTATTCTATGAGAGGAACTTGTAAGTTGTAATAAATGTTAACGATTTTGTGACAATATCTTCTGTTCTTAAATTGAAACGCACTGGAAAATTTAATACAGGGAACTTGTGGCAATAGGCAGTATTCACCAATCTTATTTTGACTATAGTTTTGTACAGTTTTTGTTAATTTTAAAGCGACGTTATAGAAGATTAGATAAAGAGCTGACAGTTCTCGCTATAATAGTTAAAAAATATATAATGTAAAGGGAGTATGCTGAAACTTTCAGTCAAATTACTTCGCTCTGAGCCGAGAAAATTTCATTTCAATAACACCGTAGCCTTGATTGTCATTGTTACCATAATAAACAAAGTCTCGATTATCCATTTTTGCAGTTCATCATCAACAGCCGTTGAACCGCAGATCAGATTCAAATCTGTTAAAAATCGGACCCATCAGTTGGCATCGAGAGTTGATTATGGTTAATAAATGTTTAGTTAATGGTCTATATAACATTTAAGGCCTTATTAAAGACCTACAATATTGCATGTTTAAATTTAGAATTATTCCATAATTATTGTATTCTTGATGTAAGAATGAACTGGTGCTTACAAGTGTAGTACTAAAATCATATTCAATAGCCTGTATTTCTTTATCTGGTATTGCTTTTTTTTCAGATAGAAAATTTGGTTAAAAGTTATGATCAATTTCAAGCTCAGTTTACGTCATTTCATGGTTATTTTGTAATCTCTAGCTTAGAGGATGATTTAGCTGTGATAGAACTTATACACACTGATACTCTATTAGCAGCTGGCAAAAAGGTATGTTACTACATGTATACTATTGCTTTTCTTATGAGTATTACCTTTATCAACCTTGATCGATTTCATAATTACATTACTTTAATTAAGTTAGGTTTCCTTCAAGGTAATTAGAAGTGTGTCTCTGGTTGGTCAGCATTAACCAAGTATTGTTTTTTTACATGTATATATTGTCTTGTTATATTTTATCATTGCTTGATAAAGACTAGAGAAGCCTGCTCAGTACTAAGCTGTAATTGTATTCCATAGAATTGTGACCTGTATATTCCAGTTCAATTACTAAATGCCATTGAAACAATTTTTTAATATTGCTGCATGACTCTTGGTTTTTTGTGTATTATTTTTTACTTACTAATTCTAAGATTTCTTAATAGTCATGATGTTGTTGAAAATCTATTAACAAGTTTATTTTGATACAATATACTTATTTAAACCTTAAGAAGTGAAAATTAATGCTATTAATTAACAATTTATATAATTCCTTTCGCACATAAATTCATTTTGTGGTCTAAGGGGAGATAATAGGTAATTGGAAGAGTTATCCATTTAATAAGTATCTTTGTTCTCATAACATATTTTAATGAGCTTCAACAAGTTTTTTATCAAATTAAAATCCTGATTATACAAAAATAAATCATACTAGTTTTTGGTTTAAGAAATTATGAACAGTATCCTTATAGTAAATAATCCCCAATACTAATTATGTACAGAGAATGTTCAACGTTCAAATTTGTTTTTGTTCCTTTTATTGCCATCTTAATTGAAGATTAATCTTGTACATTAAATATCTTTTCATATTTTAGGTAACATTTGTATTTTGTGATCCATGTACACTAGAAAATCATCCAGGCTGGCCCTTGAGAAATTTTCTTGTGTTAATTGCCAATAAATGGTATGTAGCCTACAATTATATTATTCAACTGATCTGTCAATAAAGTTAAATGTAGCATACACATGCTCTCAGCTTCTTTTGAATCAACAATATATCTGATTGTTTTATCTCTGTATTTCTTTTTTAAATTAGATAATGTATTTTTTTTTTTAGGGGAAATAAAATGGAATCAGTCAATGTGCTTTGTTTTCGGGATCGTTCACGAGATGGTGTTCGTGATGTCTCTCATAGTCTACTATTAAACATCAAATTAGAGAAATTAAATGACCAAGGTAAGAATATGTTTGGAGTAGTGGATTCCCGCCCATCGGAGCAAACTTCATATCTATGTAAAGTGCCAAAATGGAGTTGTGGGGCTTGTTCCCACAATAGTTTTTAAACTAATGAACACATATTTGTAAATTTTGTGACTAATGTAATGAACACATGTTTGCAAATCATTTGGAGCCCTGGGAGGGAATCTTCTTCTGAGTTTAAAATGAATTCAATGATGACATGTACTACTGAAGCCAAATAATTCTGTTCACAATTTATGATGTAAACAGTGATATATAATCAAAAACTGTTCTAAACATTTTAAATCTTTTATCCAAAAAGTTAAAGTCACACATATTTGTTTCATCGATTAAATAATTAAAGTGGTTCAGAAATGAAAGTAACTAGATATTTTTAAATCTAGTCACAATTAAACAAATATCTCTAAATGTATTTCCATTTTTGATCATAAGCCATGTCCTGACCTGTCTAAACTACCATTCTATCCATTGTATTTTCAGTTTGTCCAAAATGTGTAGGTTGGGAAAAGAATGAAAGACAGAAGTTGGGACCAAGAATGGTTAACCTAAGTTCAACCATGGATCCTACCAGGTACATTGTTATTTCTAAAACAGGCTTTATCTTAATAACTTTGAAGTTGCTCTATGTTTTTCAAAAGCTCAGTGTGTTCTAAAATGTTGATTTGGTTAATTCCTGAAAAATGCTGTCATTTAAAACTATTTTAAAAATGTGCTTTGTGGTCTAAGGGAAGATAATAGGTAATAGGAAGAGTTACCTAATTCCCCACAAAATGAAAATTCTTTTTATCTGATAGCAAAATGGTCAACTTGTGTTTGTTTTTTGTTTTTCGTATACTGGAAGTCTCTTAATTAATAAGCAAACTTAAGCCTGGCAAACACTATGCGCTGACATAGGTGATTTCTGTCGTCGACAATGAAAAATCTGAAACTTGCCTAGTATGCACACCCGGTCAATAGCAATTTTTCGTTGCTACAACAAATCGCGTAATGTGCTTACCCCAGTGACAAGTTAAGCAACAACCAAGGAAATCAAATCATATTAAACCAATCATATTTGGTTATTTTCCTCATGTGATATAAGCACACAACAGGTTTCTCTGATTTTTCGTCTGTTGCATATAAAAGTGGCTCAGGTACTTTGAATTAGGCCAGACTGACTTATTACATGTTTCGGACCTTCGGTCGAAGCACATATTGTTTTCGTAAGAGTTTTTATTATTATTATTTATTTTTTTTTTTTGCCGATTTTAGTCAGAAGTTGCAGCCAAAACTGTGCATGGTGCAAACATTCTGCCAACGTAGATAATGTCGGACTCCGTGCAACTAAATATTAAATATAAATTGGGTCATTTTTGACAAACTGGAAGTGTTTTACGGATGGGACAAAAAATAATCTCAGATTGCGCATCTTCGGGTTTTCATTTTTGGATTCTTTGGACAAATCCCATGTAGGCTCAGACTGAAGTTTTTTCGAAATTTGGAAGTTCAGTCTATTAGATTTAACATCAAAGATTTGTGAAAGATTTCTTCATCATTTTTTTTGACAATTAAGATGGCGTATCTCCGTCACTATTTGAGGTATCAAGTTGAAACTTGGTGGGAATAAGGAACACATCAAGGCCTTTAAAATGGCATATTCATTTTTTTGTGACTGCTTCCGAAAACTTTCGGAAATTTCCAAGTCCTTCCGATTTTTCCCAAACATGAATAGTTCTCTCCATTTTAAAAATATCTTTCATTTTCAGAGACCTTGCTCAATAAGATTTTCAACCGTTTAGCTGCCATATTGGATTTTAGAAAAAACCATCAAATCGATATTCAGCTATCATTTTGATTACGATTTTCGAAAACTTTTTTTTGTTTTGATTATTGACGTGGCAAGGCGTGACCTGACATACCGAAACACGTCAGTACTCTTTGGAGTTCTAGTTGAAATTAAGTTTGCAATTCAGGCACTAATTATAAACGTGAGAACTATAAATTTCATTTTGTTAGACTATTGTAAGAAAAGAAACATGTCAATACATATGGTAGGCCTAGTGGACTGTTCTGTCTATATAACAATCCTACGTAACCAACGCTCAAAAACTAAATCATAGCTAGCAGTTTTTTTACTTCTCTGTAGGTAGGGTGGGTCTGTTCCGATTGTATAGCAATATACCCAATAATTATATAGGCCAAGGATTCAAAGCTGGTAATTAGAGATAGCGTTGTTTTTCCCTTGCCTGTATTGAGAAAACAAATAGTGACAGCCAATCACTCTCCTGGCCTTATTGATTCTATCATCTTGGTTGTTTTGTTTGATAATGAGAGGGCTAAGTATATTTAGGATACTTTGGAACATTTCTGGGCTCATGTTCATATAGCATATTTTCAATATATACAAGAGTTGCCCAATTTAGTCTTGTTAATTAGTACTAAGGTGACTACCCTGCCACCTGATCATAATGCACAAAAACAATATTAATTGAAGTATTCGATGCACTGATGACGAAAATGCATTTTGAGGTGTCACCTACCACAACATTTTCTGTATTTTCTCAGTAATGGGCTTGTTTTCTGACAATGTGTACAACTTTATGCTAAACCTCAACGTAAGCAATTCTTTTTTATAATTTTGAAAATCAAGAAAGTCTCCGAAAGGCCCATGAGAGATAATTTACTTAAATGTGAATGTTGCCAAAAGAACCATAAAATTGACTTTGTGGTCTAAGGGGAGATAATAGGTAATTGTAAGAGTTATCCTTATTCTAATAATTATTTTTGTCAAATAAGACAAAAGATCAATCTAAGTATTTTAGAATTGATGAATATCCTCAATAAGAAATCAGCATTTATTTCTTTTCTCTTTTCTTTTTTTATTTATATTTGACCATGTTGAAGAATGATTAAACGTTTCTTTGAAGACATTAAATTAGTTATTAGATGCATAGTAAAGAAATTAATGCTTACAATTAAAAAAAATTTACAGATGTTTATGGGGGTATTTCTTCAGGTTATGTGAATCTGCAGTTGATCTTAATCTTAAACTTATGAGATGGCGTCTGCTACCAGATCTTAATCTTGAAAAAATTGGTTCCACAAAATGTCTGTTATTAGGATCCGGCACTTTAGGCTGTAATGTAGCAAGATGTCTGATGGTAAGAATGAGAATGTTATCAGATGATTTACCCAATTAGATATGATTTATAAATTTAGAAAGACCAACACAATGTAACATTGTAATTTTTGAGTCTATCTGGGAGTCATTTCTGTGATTTGAATAACACCAGTCTTTACACCCCCCACCCCCAACTTTCATTGAGGAAGATTATTTCTTTGCAGCTATCTTTATATTAAGATTTTATTTGTTTTATTATATTTTCCCTGCTTTGAGGCATTAAAATGTTTTTTCGACATTCAACGCTAATTTCTGAGCACAAATGTTCAGTGCTAATTTCTGAGCATAAATGTTCAGCGCTAATTTCTGAGCATAAATGTTCAGTGCTAATTTCTGAGCACAAATGTTCAGTGCTACATAATGAGCACAAATGATAGGATATTTATGGATTGTTCTTTCATGATTTCAGGGTTGGGGTGTACGTAATATTACTTTGGTAGATAACTCAAGAGTGTCTTATTCTAATCCAGTACGTCAGTCATTATTTGTATTTGAAGATTGTTTGAATGGCGGGAAACCGAAAGCTGAAGCAGCAGCAGACTCTATGAAGACAATATTTCCTGGTGTGGTAAGACATGCATGTCTTCTACAATTTCTGAACTTGTAATAATCTGACATTTCGTGATTTTTTTGTTAATTATTTTCCTTGAAAAGACATCAACTAACTGATCCGTGTTTAATTAAGATTAGTCTTATTTCATATTGAATGATAATATTGTAAATATTTTTGGTATTTTGAATTTGGTTGCTAATTGGAATTAAAAATTTGTCATTACGATTTGTATGCAGTAACGAACAATAAAGCCCACTTTTCTATATCTAATTCAGAACTCTCTAGGATTGTCTTTGACCATTCCTATGCCTGGACATTCCATTACAGGTAAAGTGTATATTAAGTATAAATTCCTATACAAGTATATAACAGTTTATGGAGTCTTTGAATATCCCTACCGTTGTTCTGGACCCTATTTTATTACAGACCCAGAACTATACGCCACCCCTGGATCCATTTGAGTTCATTTATTAGTTCATTTATGATCTACAATGCCTGTGTCTTTGTTTTGACTGTTTATCTTCTGGGTTTCTAGTTTATTGTTTGATATGGTGTCGAAATCCTGGATTTACGATTGTGAGGGAACTGAAATGAAATAAAATAAAATGAAGTTTCAATGTCCTACTGATCTGCTCCAACTAGGCTAATGAAGACAGCTATTGAGAGGGAACTAACTATATCTTTGTTAGCTTTATTAAATGTGGATCTATTTATTTTCTTCTAGAATCAGCGTTGAAACAAACTGAAAGAGATGTTCAAGTTTTAGAAGAATTAATAGAGAATCATGATGCTGTATTTTTATTAATGGATACCAGAGAGAGTCGTTGGCTACCAACATTAATAGCTGCCGCCAAAAAAAAGGTCAGAAACAACTGCTATCAAAAGTATTTCCATTATGATTGGTAGGATAATAGACAGTGCAAAACAACTACCCATCAGAATTCAGGATTATAACAAATAATAAACAAACTCATTAGTAATCATTGATTGCAGATTTTGCTATTGATTAAATCCTCATATTGATGGTCAATTTTAAAAAATATTATATTTGTGCTCTTAGATGAATGGATATACATATAGATGCATAATTTATTCAATTATTTAAATTAAATCCCAGTAAAAATTATAAATTGGAAATTCTGGTAAAATTGCTATTTGTGGTCTTTCAGTAAATAAATTGAACTGAAAGTTAATACTTGTTTTATTTTTACTGCATCTGAATTAACATTAGCGATATGTTTAATGCAACATCATTGTGAATTAATCAGAACAAGTTCAACTCCATGGTTTCTAGTGATTTTTTGTACTTCATCTTTTTCCCTTATAGATTGTGATAAATGCTGCTTTGGGTTTTGATACATTCCTTGTTTTACGCCATGGTTTTAAATCAACAGAAGTAAAGAAATCTGAGTTTAAGTTTGGAGGAGTTATCTCTGGGGAAAATCTGGGCTGTTATTTTTGTAATGATGTGGTGGCCCCTGGTGATGTAGGTACACAAGTTTAAAAAAAAATAGTAGGTCATTTCTAGATATTTCTGAATGCAAAGATTTTGCATTCAGTCAAAGTGCACAGTAGTGTATACCCTTGTTATGATCATTTTACTTTTTCCTAAAATAGAAACAATTCTGAATTTAATTCTTTTGGAAAATGCATTGTATAAAATAAGATGGAAATAATATATTTAAGCTCTTTCAGATAATTATTATTTTGCTTAATCCAATTAGATGCAGATAAATGTGTAATGACAGAAAAAATACTGTTAACAATATGTTAAATCCTCGGGTGTTACACACATAGACAGTAGATCTAGAAAATTTGATCTAAACTGTCTGTGTTATCTACTGTCAAGTTTTTATACTCTTCAAAAAAAGTAGGGGATATTGAAATGCAAATACCTATACAGGTTGTGATATGATAAATAGTGATGGACACTTGACATGCTTTGAGAGTATGTTCACAGAGGAAGAACTTATCGCCCCAACAGAACCACGGAGCTGCACATGCAACACGCAATAGCGCCATACACGTGGGAGGGGTTTATTGTCAAATTTAAATTTGACACTTCAAGTAAGGGTTGATGAAAACTGCTGCGTGCTGGTTAATCTATCCATGTTTGCTTTCCTATCGGTTCTTGCATAAGATTTACTGTTTAGCGTATCTTTGCTTAAGTGTGTTACGTTTTAATCGGGAGACGTGTTCGTCGAAGTCAACGTCAACCGACAGCACTGCAAGAATTGGCCATGGCACTGAAAGAGGAGTGGGTCAGATTGCCCCAAATCGTGATTGGACGGTTGATTAGGAGTATGCCACGACGAATTGCTGAATGTCTGAGGATTGGTGGAGCAATTACTCATTAAGACAAAAATCAAAAATGTCCATTTTCACTTTTGACAGTGTATCTCTTTGTGAGTGAAATGGGGCCATCAGATAAACCGCCCATATGAACTGTTTATGTTCATGTGTAGGCAATTGGCCTGTTATTAACTTACACTGGTTACCTCTAATCGAAACAGCAGTGCATTTCCACAGTTTTGTATTGTTTCTGAATATCCCCTACTTTTTTTTAAGAGTATATATAGGTTATATGATTATTGTTATTTTTAGTCTACAAGAGATAGAACATTAGATCAACAATGTACTGTAACAAGACCAGGTATATCTATGATGGGGGCTGCATTAGCAGTTGAATTATTGGTATCAATCTTGCAACATCCTTTAGGGTAAAATATCTTTTTTACATGATAATTATTTCTTTTTGATACTGGATGTAATTTAGTATGTCTTTTGGGAAGGTGGGGGCAGGGAGCACTAAAATAATTGGGATTCCTTAGTAGTATATGTGGCCACCATCATAATTTTACCTTTATTTACCATATACAACCCTTCTTAATCGATTAAAAAATGGGTGGCAATATTGCTGATATCAGCTACGATAGGGTTACTGCCACTGTGGGCAGTTTGGCCAAGATTTGGTGTTTTAGACTATCACTTTAGACTTTGATTATTTGTGGTTTGAGATGACATAAAACATACTTAATAATTGAAAATTGAAAAACTACTAACAGCAGTGTAAATGATTTTTGTTATAGAGCTAAAGCTCCAGCAGATACATCGGCCAGTGATGACAGCATGTTTACTGTGAAAGATACAGAATGTTCACTTGGTATAGTACCACATCAGGTGTGCACAATATTTAAAAATATGTGTGTCTTTTTTTTTTTTTAACTCTTTTTAAAACTTACATTTACGCAAATTTAAATGCATTTTCAAATCCATGCACTGTTTATACCTTTTGAAGTTTTATTTAGTGTTGTAAATTAGTATTTGTTTTATTTTATATATAAGTATGTATACATTTTGAAAGATATTTACTATAAATATATTTATATTGTCTCTTACAGATGAGAGGATTTTTATCCAAGTTTTCAAATGTTCTTCCAGCTTGTCAAGCTTTTGATAAATGTACTGCTTGTTCTGAGAAGGTAAGTAAAGTTATTTAAATCAGTGAGGAATCATATTTCAACACAAAAAATTCATATATATTATGTTATTTTTAAGACAAATTATAAATAATTCATCGTTCTGTGGATGGAGAAAAAAAAAAGCATTATACAGTGTAGGGGGAGACAACTGGGGTAATTATCTCCCTTGCACTGTAAATCTGTATTTTTCTGTCTTTTCATTCAAGGTAATGGAGAGTTATAAACAAGAGGGCTTCCAGTTTCTCTTAAAAGTTTTTAATGAGCCTTCCTATTTAGAGAACCTGACAGGTTTAACAGCCATGCACCAAGAAACAGTAGAGGCTGAGGTAGGATTAGTCTACAATATTTCAAGTGACATTAAGAAATAAATTGGCCTTGTCTTTGATATTGGAGGGATTACTGTTTCTTTAACAGTTCTACTAGTTTTAACAATAATATTTTCATTCTTAAAGATTATGCGGTCTTGAACTATTTTTTGGTGCGTTTTTTCAGTGGTTTCTTGCATTGTAAGCAGTTATAGTAATGAATGAAATGGCTAAACCTCTTTTTCTATCTTCATTAGCCCAGTATCTAAAATAATACATCTTCATTAGCCCAGTATCCAAAATAACACATCAGACCAACCCAATTCAGTACTTTTTTTGACCAAGAGGTTTAGCTGCTTCAAATTTACTGATCAAATTTGCAAAGTTATAACTTATGAGGTGGGAATATGACATGATACACAATTATAGCAGTCATATCAAATTTTATTAACATGACTTTCCTTCATGTTTGTAGTTAGGTGTTTGTGCATTTCTAAATACTGATTTTAACTTCATTACTTATGGTTTTCAGGTGTGGGATATGAGTGATGATGAAGAACTAACAAGTATAGACTTAACCAGTGTAGATCTTTCCAGCATAGATACAAAAACAATAGAAAAATTATAGATCTATAATTTATTTATACACGTGTATATTCACTTATGATGGATTCATTTCACTTTATTTTAATTTTATACAGTAAGAGTAATCAATAACATTTGTTATGTATTTGTATAAGCAGATCGTATCTACTAATGAATTCTGACTGGAGAACTAACTCAAGAATTTTTAATGTTTATGAGTTGACGTGATGGTTACTATCTATAGTAATTACTTACAGTAGACAGTTGATTTTCACTATTGTACAGAATTACCTTAGAAAACTAATTAATTGTAGAAACTAAAACAAAAAATCAATAAAACCTGCGATCTACATTTTAAGTTAAAAAAATGTTTAAATGTAAAACAATTACACCAGCTTTTTAATTCCAAAACACTGGGAGTTGTATTATTTAAATATTATGTTTGACGACACTTTTGAATTACCTGTGAAACTATCCATAAATTTGTTACGTTATAGAATAGAAAGTGTCTGGTAATATGTGGCACTTTAAATATTACATTTATTTCTTGTTCTACAGTAACATCCAACAGAAAACTTTGCCTCTGACAGATTAACTTACTGGTTTGAAGCCTAAATTCAGATCTATAAAAATGATTCCAATGTTTATAGAAATAATTTATTAAAATTATCCATCAAATTTGTGGATAAATATTTAAAATAATCTTTTATCTAGAACTATATACAAAACACCTTCAGCCAAACTTAGCAGCACCAGTTCGCTGTCATTATAGCTATCTGACTAAAAAATTTTCAGTATTTAAGCTGTTAAGTTTTATTTACTTTACATTTGATTTATTTTCAGTATTTTAAGTGGCGTCGAATTGCAGTCAAATTCATTCGGCCGAATGAGTGGACATACTAGGCGAATCCTTCACCCGATTAACCAGTTGATTGCATCACCTTCACGTCACATTAAACATGGCAGCGACCATGTCTTCAAACTATCATGTGACTTCTTGATATGAGCGGTGAATTCTACAATCGAGTGAATTCTTCGGTGAAGCGACACTCTAGGCGAATATAATTTGGGCGAATATATCAATGTTTGATTTGGGCGAATATAAATTCAGCCGAATGACAGTGGACACACTAGTCGAATTTCGGCCCCGTTTGATTTGCCTAGTGTTCCAACGCTTAAGCTGTTAAGTTTTTTTACATTACATTGATTAAATTAGGTTTATATCTATATGAAATTACGGATTAGCGAAAATGGAACTAAATTCATTTACCATACAAAAAATTTTGAATCTTTGTTTAATGAGCCTCCAAGTAGTCATATTAATTCTTTTTGTTGTAATTTATGTCACATTGCAATAAATAATTACCTATATCAGATTCAAAGAAGGTATGTAATTACCGGTAAATCAGGATGTTGTATAGTCATTATACATTATTGTGTATGTTATTTGTTAATGGCTTGTAAATATTGCACAAATAAAATATTATACTGTTTAGAAGTGTTCCAAATTAAAGGGTGGGTGGGGAGGCTTCTCAATAGTTGGTGCCAGTAACATAACACAGAGTCAAATTGTGATGCAACCATGTTTCAGCTGTGATCATTGGTGGAGAGATTTTCTTATTCAGTTGATGTGTCGTCTTGAATGGCACTAATTGTGGGAATTGTGATATGCGTAAGCAAACATTATGAAAACATTCATGGTAGAGGCAGATCACCCGCTGTTGAAATTCATGGAAATAGGTGATAATGCCACGATTGAAGCCCATTTATGAAAACATAAAACTGATAAAACTTACAAACTCAAAAATCTACATGTTATGGAGAGAGAGAGAGAGAGAGAGGTTTTAGCTCCACTCACACAAACTAGGTCAATTTGGGACTAACATGGTTCAATTTTATTTCAATAATTGCTTGTGCGTAGGGGTCTTTAGCAGTGGGAGGACCCGGAGAAAACCCACGGGGTTGGACAGGGATCCTACTCCTTGTCACTACAACCGGGGATTCGAAACCATGCCAGTTGACTCAATGACAGGCTTTATGATACAGTGCGCTCGTGCTAACCATTCGGCCATCCAACCCCCCACATGTTATGGAAGCTCAATAATAAGAGACAATAGATTTGAGCTGATATTAGTTTTCATGAATAGGGTCACTGACATTCGAGAAACAAGGAACTGTATTGAACCTATCTGTTCTTTCATTAAAAAGAAAAGCTTAAACAATATATATATATCATGATAAAATTGTTTTATTCTCTGAATTCTCATTTGAAATAATAATCAAATATACATTTATAATAACTATCAAATAACAAGAGAAATACTAAAATCTACAACAGTAATATAGCAAACAAGGTAAGAATTATGGGGTAGGATCTTGTAAAAGGATCATTTATACATAAATTATAAACATATATCTGTGGTATTGATAATAAAGTTAAGATATATCTGTATTAAAGATACATTATGTTAGATTTAGATAAAGAGCTGGCCTTCTTGCTGTAACAGTTCAAAAATAGATAATGCAAAATGAATATATTGAAAATTCATTGTGTGCACTGAATGTAACCACTGTACTGCTTGTTTGAAGCTTAGCCTCACTTCACCATCTTTAGATTAAATCATTAAATGGTTGAACCGTTCTAATCTACTTAAAATCGAACTATCCAATGGCATCATGACTTGATTATGGTCTTATGTTAATAAATGTCTAATAGTTTATATAACATTTAAAGCCTAAATAAAGACCTGTAATAGGCAGATTTAGCTCTTGCATAATGCCTGTTTAAGAAACACTGTCACAGATATTTACAACTTGAAAATCGTGACCAAAAAGCAAGCCCAGTTATTTTTCTCTTTAAATTTAGTGTCCATTTGACTTTAAATCAATAATTATACTGTAGCACAATGTAGTTTTGACTATCTAAAGACAATTTTTTTTTATCTTCAATCCTGGAAAGAAATATTTTACGATATAGAAAATTTAAATTGTGGTTCTGTTTATATCATTGATATTTTGTAGATATGCAAGGAATAGTCTATATTTACTGAGTGAGTCTACAAATCAATGAGAAGTGGTATGAGGTGTTCAATAAAAGTAAGCATATCCTGCCTTGTGAGTTAAAGAATACTTCAGACAAGCAGAGCACTTTCATATTCTAAGAGTAAGAATATGGTATGAAAAGTGAAAAACAATAATAAACCAATACAGATATAATATGGTGCATGTTAACAAAACAAATTGGCCTTAAATATTCAACAGGCAAGAAGTTAAGTAAGGGGTTCAAATTTAGTTTGAAATGGATGATAACCATACTTTTAAGGAGAGTAATATTTTAATAGCGAAAAAGGAAAAACATATAATTTAAAAGCTTTTAATCTTTAATTAGTTACTTAAATTTTATATTAATAACATTAACATATCGTAAAAATATTTTATAAAAAAAGATTATAATTAACAACTAATAAAAACAATGTATTAGTAAGCCAAGATTCAATAGGCAAGAAGTTAAGTACAGGGTTAAATTTTAGATTGCAATGGATAAAGCTTTTAAAATAAAAAAACAAACATATTACAGGAAAAAAACAGTACAGTCCCTAAACACATAACTTTTAACTCTCTTAGTTACTAATATTTTATATTAATAACATTAACACATAGTAAATATTTTTTTATATAAAAAAGATTATATCACTTAGAAATAACTTTGAAATATAGTCTTAACAAACAATAATAACAATGCATTAGTAAAGATTCTTTTCATAATATTTTTTTAAGACTTTGACAGTACATGTATTATAAAATAGAATGTACTATAGTCCTCAACAAACACATATGTGTGTGAAGTGATTGACTAATCCTCTAAACTTTCGAATTGAATGATGCTCTTGATTGTCTTAATCGTTGTCAATCAATGTGAATTTGGGACATGTTAATTACAAAATGTAAGTGCATGAAATGAGAGCAAATAAATCTTTTAAGACAACTGTGCAATAAAATGCATTTTGAAAAATACATCAACAACCCGATTGTCAACAAGCAGCAGTAATTAACGAAGCAATATAAAATCCTTTAATTCTAAATTCATTTGATTTTAAACATAACAGAATGACTGCCCTCAAGTAACCTTAAAAATGTTATCACTGGTTTTGTCTGGAAGCAGCAGAGTTCAAGGCAAGGACAGACGCCAATACTAATCTGTCATTGAATAAACTAAAAAAAAATGATATATATTTTAAAACAGTAAGAAGAGGGGAGGGATAAAAAACACAAAACATCAATTAAATAAATAATTCTGCATTGTCAGATTATATATATGCTATCTGATCTTTATGCACATTACTATTAAGCATCTGCATGCATTTATTATTATATATTCACATATAAGCATGAATAATTATGCGTTAAAAAATAAATAATTCTGCAATAAAAAGAAACAGGTCATTTCATATAAAATTGGGATATTAAAGTCACATTCTTTCATAATAAATAAACTACATGCTATTATGGAATTAAAGGGAAAGATTTGAATATGCATAATTTATATGTGTGATAAGTAATATTTACATTCGGGCAGGAATATTATGATTATTTAATATAAATGACTTCTATATGGTTTCTTTTCTATTAATTTTATTTGCAGTACAGGCTACAAAATGTTTACTTTAAATTGAAAAGTCATTACAGTAGGATTCAGTTTCAATTAAAGGAAAAAGTCAAAGTGTTGCAGATTGTTTATATTGTGGCACAAACTTGATTTCATAATTATGTAGGGTTTTTAATTTCAGTTTCTTTTTATTTCCTTTAAGAAGATTCTACACCTTACAGCAATTTACTAAGGATTTTTTGTTTACCCTGATTTTCTAATTTATTTATGTAAATACTGACTAACTATATAGTTTAAATGGAATTTTATGTCTGTAATTGTATTTGGCAATGAGATACCGTAGTATAAATTTTAATGATAGTAAATGCACATATCTGTGGCTATGATAATTCTTTAAAATGCACATAATTGTGGCTAAGATAATTCTTTAAAGCTTATATGACATGAAGTATATTCAGAAAGTTAATAAATAAACCAACTAACAATTATTGTTCTAAACTATTTCCAATTTTAAAATTCACTCTATTCAACACATTTTAATAAAAACCTTATACAATATTATACCAATTATTTGAATATTACTGCCTTAGTTATGTCATCAGTTTTTGCCTTAGTTATGGAGACAGTTTTATTTTGCACCATTGAACAAATTTAATAAAGATTTTGAAAGAGGTCATTTCATGTGTTAACTACAACTCATTTCTTAAACCTATATCCCAGACTGCCTATTCTATTAGATGATCTCCTGAATATAGAATTTTATTTTACACATAATTATTATCAAACTTGTTGAATGCTTTTTTTTTTTTTGCTTTTTCCATCTGATAATTCTTCAAAATTGCTTAAGGAGAACTGTACATCTGGATGAAGAAATAATATGATTTTTCACAATTTTGAGTAGGGCTGCAACGATGAACCGCGATGTTTTAAAAATCCACGATACACGATATAATCAATGTCCGTATCACGGTTTTGTTATCCAAATAATAATTTCACAAAAATAGACTGATATTCCTTAAAATGCGTAAGTAAGTCCATGAACAAAATAACTTTTTTTACTTTCAGCTAGGGTTAAGGCGTTTTCGACACATGAAGTGGCTTATTATAGCTATTTTGTCAAGATTAAAATATCAGTTTGGTTAAGCAAAGTCGTGCTGGAAATTCAGTTGCGTTCAAATCAAATTACACACCTGAATAATATGCGGAAAAAAACATACAACATATTAATAAATATACACACACACATCAGTAATATGCGATTTGTCATAATATTATGTATGAGAATCGTGATTTGTAGATACTGCATACATTGATCAGCACATTTCAGTGTATATTGATATTTGATATTAAAACCTTTGCAACGTTATTTCCTTTGCTGTTCAGTAATCTGACTGACCTGACACGAGAAATCTTTTCATGATGAATTCACCAAATTCAAGTCGCACTATCGACAAAAGCAATATTGAGATCAAAGTCCCCCATTCCAAGTACAAGTCACATGTATGGGATTTTTAGAATTTCCCGTTAAGCATGACAGTAATAAAATCCATTCACTTGACCGAGAAAACACCAAATTCAAAGTAAATCATAAATGTAGGCCTTTGAATATTCACAGTGAAAGACTTTCAAAATTTAACAGCATTTTTAAAATTCATTTCCTATATCGCGATATTAATCATATCGTAAGCTACGAATTGTGATGCGCATTGTATCATGGCCTGGTGTATCGTTGCAGCCCTACTTTTGAGAGAAATGTTTTAAGTATCATTTACACTGATTTCCGAAATACACTACAAATTCAGTACAGTGGAAATACCTGGATCCTCACAGAACCCATTTTACAAACCAGTGCCACATTTTTAAGTACAGCATGCTGGTGACAGAAACTGGAATTAAAAAAATTCTGTATGTCATAGTGAGGGCTGAGGTGTAATTTTAAGTGTAGATTGACACTGCTGCGTAATATGGTACTGTCTGATGTAAATAGCCATTCTACAACTTCAGGATTGCAGAGCATCTTTACTTGTGAATGAAAAGTTTTTAAACACAGCTTGGTTCAGTGTTTTCAGAAGGTCACTTTGAGTTGGTGTTAACTGAGGTTTCTCTATAGTAAAGTCCATATCAAAATTAGAACTATCACTAGCTGATTTCTGTAAAGAAAGATAAATAAAATGTCATAAAATGACAAAAATCAACTCCACGAGATCTCCCCCGGGTCACTCTTATTCTTTTCTTGTGGATATGTTATTTAATGTCTTATTTCTGTTTTTTTTTGTTTTTTTGTTTTTTCAAACTAAGCGGCATGAAACTTGACTTTAGATCTTTGTCGAGAAAACAGCCTATTTCAGAACATTAATGGAAAGAAATGGGGTGTAATGCCCTACTTTTCTGCACGACTTTTAACGGTTCATGGCTGGAACTTGACAAAGCTCCCTGCAAACCACAGGGTTGGTTTGAGACAGTCGATATTGTTATTCACCATGTAAAAGGATATTACCAGCTGGTTTCAATTGTCTAACGACAATATTAATTATTGATACCAAAGTTTATGGATCACTATAATATTCCTTTATCTTGTACTTGCAACTAACTGTATGGGTTTCTTGTAGACAAGAAAGCATCTACATACTTATGTATAGAAAGAAACATATTGCAAGAAAACTTACAATTTTAGGTTGATATGGAGGTGGAATTTGACGGTTTTCTAACTTTTCCCAATCAATGGTGCGGAAAAATGGTTGGGATCTGATTGGTCCCTGCGCACAGCTAGGCATACCTAACCTAGTAACTGGATTTCTATCAAAAAGCTGAAAGATAAAAGACAAAATTTATGCACTGCTAATGATGAATCTTCTGAATGAATGGTTTTCACAAAAAATGCCAAATGCCTTTCCAATTTCAAGAATAGTTCATAGGTTTTTTCCTATATAAATTCCCTGTGCTTCCTTTAAAAATTTACAACCTTCTATCATGTGTTTGCCAATCAGATTGATTTGGTTCTTAACAGTTTAAACATGGTTAGTGGATCGTAGAATTAGATTTTGTTTTGTGGAATGACAATGTGTTTCTGTGTTGACAGTAAGCAGGAAACTGGGGAATTGAAAGATATATTGCTTGTTTCCAGAAGGCTATGTGATGTTATTTAATTCTGAGATTAATTACTGTTTTGTTCTGAATTTATGTTATTTTAAAGACTAGTAACAAATAGTTCAACGGTTTTCTGGATGGAGTGAAAAGCATTTTATGATCTAAAGGGAGACAACTGGGAGTAATTATCTCCCTTGCACTGTGATCTGCAGGTAAAAATAGAAATGATGAATTGTTTTATGGCATGACAAAATATCTTTTATCACATTTTATTATCTATAGATAAAACCAATTTTTAGATATAATCTATTTTGTGATGACCAGTTAAAACAGTAATCAAAACATGTCTTTATGACATTTTAAAGATACATTATGTAAGATTTAGATAAAGAGCTAGCCATTCTTGCTATAATAGTTCGAAAACAGATCATGTAAAATGAATAATTTGAAAATTTCATTCAAATTACTCTATTGCAAGCGAAGATATTAGCCTTTGAAGGTTTGATAAGACGTGTGCAATAATTTCAACCACCGTACTGGTTGTTCTTACACAAAATTAGACGCCTAACACGTCCAGACAAAAAACTGTCATAGAATGATTACTTACCAAACTAAGCATAATGGCTGCTTCTTTAGGTAATGACTGAGGATAACGAGGAGTATCATATAGAATGGACTGGAACAAATCATCTTCATCATCTCCGTGGAATGGAGACTGACCAATCAACATTTCGTATAGTAGAACACCATATGACCAAAAATCAACCGATGAATTATATTTAGCCCCATTCAATATCTGGAAATTAAAAAGTGCTTTGTATTTCAAAAATGGTACATTAAATGACTTACTGAGCCAAAAAACCTTCCAATACTAGTGCATAGAGAAAGCAATTAAGTCAATAGAGACAATAATACGAAATGAAATGAAATGAAATGGGGTTGAACGTCCTCTGTTCTGCTCCTAACCTGGGCTAATGAAGACGGGCATACGCCATACAGTGTGCTATGAGGGAAATTTTGCCCGGGCAGCGGCACTATCGCCTACTCTTATATCGAATTCCAACTGCCAAGGGATCTTTTACGTGCATTCTTATGTATACCCGGACCTCGGTTTTTCGTCTCATCCGAAGGACTAGATAGCTGTCCTTGTCAGGCCCTCCGTCAGACAATAATACAAAGTAAACTGCTGTAAAATTCTGCATGTTTGAGAAATTGAATAGGGTGTTGTTTATACCATCTCCAAATATTGTTTACAATATGATACAACTCGCACAAATTCAACTCCATTTAAATACATTAAGTTTAGCACCATTTTAATACACAACGTTAAAATGGAGAGGGGGAGAAATGGAGTTTAACGTCCACTCGACACGAATCAGGTCATTTCGGGACTAACATATGGTTCAATTTTATTTCAATACTTTGCTTGCGCGTAGGGGTCTTTAGCAGTGGGAGGAAACTGGAGGATCTGGAGAGAAACCACAAGGTTGGGCAGGCGACCCTACTCCTTGTCACATACAACCGGGGAATCAAAACTGCGTCTGTTGACTCAATGACAGACATCATGATACAACGCGCACGCTCTAACCATTCAGCCATCCAACCCACAACAACGTTAAAACGTACGATATTAATAGCCATATTATTTAATTTGTTCACTCCTTAAGAATCGACCATAGCAGAATCAAACTTACTCCTTATTGCTGTGTCAGTAAAGAATATTGCTGATTGACTTACCTCAGGTGCAATATAATCTGGTGTACCACAGAAAGTTGAAGCTTTATTTTCATCAAATACATTTTCTTTACACATTCCAAAATCAGCAATTTTAATATGACCATCTTTATCTAATAACACATTATCTAATTTCAGATCCCTGTTAAAATAAAAACCCAAGTACTTGATACGCCACAGTGAAAAATAAAACAAGCCAAATCCAAAAATAAATAGATGATACTTATTAATTACTTATGCATTAAAGTTTTTATAAAGCATCTTACAATCTTTGAACTCAGTCAAGGCATATACAAAGTTTGAACATTCTACCTAAATGAGAGTCAATGTTTTCCAAAAACTGTCACAGACCGAGAGATGGATTGATAGCTTCTTAGCCCATACAGAAAATGCTCATCACCAGACCCGTTCAAAGTGGCCTGATGAGAGAAAGAGAGATGGGGTATAATGTCCACTCGACACAAACTATGTCATTTCGGGACTAACACATGGTTCAATTTTATTTCAATAATTCGCATGCCTGTAGGGGTCTTTAGCAGTGGGAGTAAAACTAGACGACCCGGAGAAAAACAAGGAGCTTGGACGGGTGACCATACTCGTCACGTACAACCAGCAAATTGAAACCACGCTAGTCGACTTAATGACAGATCTTATGATACAGCGCCGCATGTGCTAAGCATTCTGAACAGCAAATGAAACTTTATTTGATGAGAACATTCCCAAAATCTGACGATTTTGAGTAAGCAGATAAAAAACAAACTTACCTGTATACAACACCATTTCTATGTAAAAACTGTAGACCACAAACTATTTCAGCTGCATAAAATCTGAAAACAGACGAAAAATACATGGAAACTTGCATATTGTAATAGTACAAATGTCATGTGCCAAACAATTTAATAATTTGTAAGCAAATTTATAGTGCAATGTTTTCAACATTGTGTTCAGGGGCATTTACAGATACTTGGAGTTGGAACATAATATTCACAATTTATCAGGGAATAAACTCATTGGTTGCAAAAAAGAAAGTAAATCCAAATTGCCGTAATTTGACTACACAATTGCATTGAACATTTATGTGACTTAAGACTGTATGTAGAATTTGAAACAAAACTTACAAATTATCACTACTGAGTTATAAAGTTTTAAGATTTAAGAAGATACTCCTTTTTTATCACCCTTTATTAATTCATCTATACAGCCTTCAGTCAACCTTCACACCACACTACTCTCTACTGTACTGACTAAAGACTTGTATTGTGCTTAACCAATCCCATGACCTGTGTATTTACAGCACACACTCACTCTGATTGTCACCCACTCATCACAACCAGCAGACGACATAGTTAGTATATAACACTTATGAAAAATATCTTCTTCTAATATAAGAAAGTCAGTGCTTGGATTTTTGATAATAGATTAGACAGCAATTATTTTGAATATGAATTATTTTGAAAGGATTTTATTTCATTGGATTGGGTGTGATTTCATACATATGGGTAAGTTTATAGATAACTATATTGTTTTTTTGTCTACTTTGCTGCACCCACTGGACTAATGAAGAAGGGCAAAGCCATGCAGTGTGCTATGAGGGAGGGGGAATTTTGCTCGGACTGCGTCGCTACGACCTATTCTTATGTCGATTTCCAACTGTCAAGGGTTCTTTTACATGCAGGTTTTTTTTGTCTCATAATAATGTCTAGACAATGTTCCTTGTCAGACCCTTCTTCCTGCACCACTGACAAGGGAGAAACTACGCCGGAAAATCTGAGGAACTTTCTTAGCCAACACTGGGAGTGAATCTGAGACCTCCTGGTTGGTGAGCCACCGCGGCTCCCAGCATGGCTAAGACAGTAATATAAGTTTCAGTCATAAATCATTCAATACTTACAGAGCTCTGTTATAGTCAAACTTGCCAGTCAATTGAATGTGGAACATTAGATCTCCACCATTTAAATATTCCATAACAAAGAATAAATGTGACTGAAATTAAAAAAAAAAAAAATTTGTGTTAGGGGAGGTAACTCCTTAAGTCATACATTCTACAGAGAGTTATAATAATTTCTTACTAGTATATTAATTGTATTTTTATTGAGTCATTATGTTATAACTTTATTGCTCTTCAAACAGTGACAGTTTAAATACAAACAGATTTGAATTCTTACCGGTGATTGGAAAGTACTGTGTAAATGAGTGAGGAAGGGATGTTTACAACCAAGTGCCAAAATTCTTCTTTCAATTAAAGTGCATTCAACATCATCATCTTCTAGTACCACCTCTTTCTTTAGAGCTTTGATTGCATAATAATTACTAGATCCTTTTAATTCAGCCAACATTACCTGAAATATTTCACATTAAATTTAGTTATAGAGTAGAATATAAAATTGTTTTACACAGGTTTAGAAGCAATTTGTTAATAATTATTTATAACATGAGTCCCACATAGCAACCAGAACACATGAAACCGTTACAGCTATATGTATAAGACAAATTTTTTTTTTATAAAATACTATTTCAAATTCTGTGAAGTCCAATAGGTTGACAACTCCTTTTTTATGTAAGACGCAACTGTTGCACTTGGTCCCCAATCTTATGATTTCTATTACTCAGGTTGGTAAACATGCAGGTTCCAACTCTAATCTCCTGTTACTTGAATGAATGAATGAATGAGATGGAGTTTAACATCCTACTGTTCTGCACCAACCGGAAAAATGATAACAGGCATACACCATACTGTATGAGGGAAGGGAGCCACAGTGGCTCAGTGGGTAAGACATTAGCTTGCTAAACTGGAGGTCCCATGTTTGATCCCTGTGTTGAGAAAGTTCATCAAGATATATGCTGGTGTGGTTCCCCCTTGTCAGTGGTGCAAAATGATTTATTTTTGTTTGGATTGGAAGAAAAACCGAGGTCCTGTGTACACATTGGTGTTTATGTAAAAGAACCCCTGGCAGTTGGAATTCGATATAAAAGTAGGCTGCAGTGCAGCAAACCAGGCAAAATTTCCCTCACAGAAGACTGTATGGTGTAAGCCCGTCTTCATTAGCACAGTCGGAGCAGAACAGTAGGACATAAAAACCCATTTCATTTCATTTTTTATTTATGAGTGAAATATTTTCTGGACAGTAATTGAATTCCAACTGCCAAAGGTTGTTTTATATGCACGCCAAGGTATACACGGGACCTAATGATATGTCCCATCCAAATGACAAGACACCTTTCCTTGCCAGTTCTTTAGTCATGTACCATTGACAAAGCGGAACTTTCTCTGTCAACACCTGGGTTAAACCCCAGACCTCCTGGTTAGTGAGCCAGGTTTTTTTTTCACTGAACCACCATAACTCCTATCTGTAGTTGAAATTAATAAAAGGTAAAATACTTATTAATAACAAACCTTCCCAAAGCTGCCTTTACCAAGAACCTTTAAGAAATTAAAATCTTCAGCTTTAAAGTGTTTTAATGTGTCCTGTGATAAAGTTGATAGTTTTGTTGGTCCAGTACCTTCCTGTAAATCTTGATAATTTTCATCTTCTGAACTCTCATCACTTTCTTGTTGAGAAACTTGCTGTTAAAGAGAGAAAACAGGGTTTAATTTCCACACAAGGAAACTTTGTTCATGAATTGTGGATTACAGTGCATTACAAATGGACATTCATTAATATTATTTAAAGCGGAAATTGCAAATTTTTAAGTTATATTTTTAAAATTTATTAAAATAAAGCCTGAAAATAGATGGCATCCATAAACAGTCCTACCTTGTTAAAGAATAATCCTATTAATCCTATAATTCACTATTGCCAGCTGAGAAATTGGCAAAAATATCATTTTCCTCTTAATTTTCAAACGTTTGAATATCGCTACTCCATGGTGGAGAATAGAAAACAAGGGAGGTAATTGGGAGGTAATTGTGTTATTATTTCCTGTGTAAATGAATCTTAAGTGTGAGAATGACACCTATGATCGTATAATTGTGAGTTGACAACCTATTGAGCAAAAATCTTAGAAATAATTACGTTTTGACTTTCTTAGAAAATTTGCAATTTCCGCTTTAAGTAGCTTATTTGGAGACTAAGATATGGTACATCTTTAATTCATGACTTTGTTTATGCAAAGGACTCTTAATACAGCACATCATAAATAAACAGCTAATTTCTGGACTAATAGTAAGTGCAGTAGGACTGCAATACACGCAAACAAAACCGATAAAGACAAACCTGCGGACAAGAAACTAACTACACAAGACATTGCAAGCAATAAACAACAAAATATCAAGTGGTTGGATCCATGGACCAGTAGTAATTGTCCACTACACTGTACATATAGTACATCATTAATTCATGACTTTGTTTTGTGCAAAGGATTCCCCAAGAGTGGTAGGAAAGTCGAGAATAAAGAAAGAACTAGCAGCGTCAATTTTAATAGAATATTAAAATCACTGGTGGACTTGATAACAGTAGCACCACCTGGTTAACTGTGACTGATTTAGTTTTTGCTGAGAGGTTATCTCTATGACTACAATTATAACAAATTTCGCAGAAGTTTTCATTTAAAGATGTTACTCTGTTGTGAACTTTGTTAACGGTCAAATTTTCATGTGTACTAGCGCCAAAAAGTGACCCCAAACAATGATATTACATATGAGTTTATGTTGTCATGCTGAGTGGTTGACATTCAAAATTAAAGTAAACTTACACTAGATTTTCTGGAGGATATTTTGACTTGTTTTAAAGCTTCTGCCAGTAATACCTGATTTACTCCACATAAATTTGGCATAAATTTCTCACATCTTCGATGGCAGTTTATGTTGCAAACTATATAAAGAAATAAGAATAAAACAATTACCAATTAATTAAAATATTGTCATAATTCAAAATGAGGCATTTGGGAAATTATCCGGCACCCAGAGTTTTGGGCCTGAAAGTAGTGAAGGACAGATGGACTGGCAAGCAACAGTGTCTAGTCGTTCAAATGGGAAAAGAAACCAGGGTCCAGTGTACACGTCTGGCGTGCACAGAAAAGAATCATTGGCAGTTGGATTCAAAATAAGAATAGGCTGTAGTGCTGTTGTCTGGGCAAAATTTTTCTCATAGCTCACTGTATGACATATGCCCTTCTTGGTGCAGAGAAGTAGGACGTTAAACCCCAATTCATTTCATTTAGTCACAGTATTCATTGGTTGGGATTCATTAACGTTTTCTTTGAATCCATTAAATACCTAATAACATAATAAACCACTTTCTTATGTTTGACTTGTATCTCAAGCATCATGCCAGAGGGACTGTACAGTTCCCAGATCCATTCAATTGATGTTTTATTTGTTGTGTGGCTTGTCTGCAGGTTTGTCTTATGTTTTGTTTTTTTGTTTTCCGTGTAGTGGTCTTGCTGCACTTACTATTAGTCAAACAAATCTCAATCAATGAAGTTCTGGACAAACTTTAGCAATGGCTATATTTTAGCCAGTTTCAATAGCATGCAATTTTATCGGATATATAATATTTTCACATCTTTTTACTGTTTTCACATCTCACTCAAACTGTTAATTAGTTTATTGTTATCCACTTGTATATAACCTTCTGTAGCATGTTTGATTGTATCATTGCTTGATAACGCTGAATGTTATCCATAAAACTGTCTGTTTATTATCTTTTTATAAATAAGAAAATTGCAGTGAAATTGGTTTATGTATCAAAAAGTTCATATTACATACCTTCACATTTTAATCCTTGCCTAAATAAACCATATAACATAGTACCACAGTGATCACAGAATGTGGGTGACATATAATTATTGATTTTAAAACGATGGGGGACATTGATGTTGAAACGTTCTGTTAACATCTGAAATTACAAAAATAAATTTGTGTATTTTTTATCAGAATAAAATGCTGTATTCAATCACATTTTGCAAAAATATATGCTTTGTCCCAACTTTAGTCCAACTTTTGATTTAGTAAAGCAGTGTGTGGGCTGGATATGAACTTCTTCCCCCACCCGCAGTCTCCAAAAACAGTAAGTGCTCGCTGTGCTGCCTAGGTGGGCCATTGACTGAACTAAACTGAATAAGCATCACCAAGGTAATATTTCTATCAGCTTTGGTTGTAATCTATTGAGTGGGTTAGGATAAAAGTAAAAAATATCCAATTTTCCCAATCAACAACCAAATACCAGGGTACTTCAAAGTTTAACCCCAAAATGATACAGGAAAACATAATTTTCATTGATTTTGGGGTATACAAAGGGTCATAATTCAGTAAAAAAGAACGGAATCCCAAGAATCTCAAACCTGATCTGCAACTCTGCAGTGTAACAACCCTCGTCCACTACGGTTTCGTTTTTAGGGGACTAATGGACTAATATTAAACACCAGCATAGCAATATAACTATCGATTTTTTTAAAAATCCAGCAAATGGTCGAAAATCATGGACAGAAGTGATGAGATAAGCTCTTCTGTCCAATAACACGATGGGGTAATAACATACCTTTGTTTCTCGACTGTCGATGGCACTGCCAGGACATCGTCCAAGGATTTTTTCGTGACATTTTTTGTGAACTGCACAATTGCAAACTACAAAAAAGAATAAACTTATTTAAACATTATACTTAAAAAGACATTTTTGAGCAATAACTCAAGTATATATTATGATTACACCACCATTTCTATTTTTTTTTTTTTTTTAACAGATAAAAATCTTAATGTGGATATAGTGGTATATAGTCTACCCATTTCTGTTTTAATAGCCTGAATACTAGTAATTATCTGTTTGCGTCATGGCAATTTTCCACCACACCACACCAAAGATTTATATGCATTTTTAGTTTTACAGCTCACATGCATTGTGAACCATGACTAACTCATGGATTTACCTCCACTGTTCAAATGAATCATTGAATCCATATGAAATGAAATGGGATTTAACATCCTACTTTTCTGTACCTTCATGCCATACAGCAATATCCTATAGGGCAAATTTTGCATGGACAGTAATTTTATTCCATATGTGTAGGGTTCTTTTATGTGCAGGCCAAGGTGTACACAGGACCTTGGTTTTTCATACCATCCAAAAGACTAGATGATTTTCATTGCCAGGCCTGTAGTTCTGAACCAGTGACAAGGGAAAACCATACGGGAAAATCATGGGGAACTTTCCAAGGATAGAAAGCCAGACCTCCTGGTTAGTGAGTCAATGCCCTACTTACTGAGTCACCGTGGCTCCTATTGAATCAAAAATATATTGTATTATGTAAGTCCCAAAATAAACTAGTTTGTGTTGAATGGATGTTAAACCTATTCTGTCTTGTATACTGGACTAAAGAGACTATCTATCAATCATCATTACTTGACAGTTATAATTTATTAGGCACTTTACAGGATTCTTCACTTTAAAATTCTCACATACCAGGATAGATAAGCTTTAGAGAACAGGATGAATTACTGCCAATTCAACGATTTTTATTATTTAACTGCAAAAACTATGCCCAAGTGTGCAAATATGAGATCTAGTGAATGGAACAAACCGGCTTAACAATCTTTTAGACAAATTACTATAAATAATTTTTAGAATTTTTTTTAACATTCAGTTTTGTATTTATGCCAAATGGATTGGTTAGAATTTAAATAACCATACATCACAAAGTAAAGTTTTCTACAGTGCAGCTTAATACAGAAAAATAAAAATATTAAGTGAATAAGGCTGTTACACAAGACAACATACCTCACACACATACAAACAGTGCCATGTGATATCAGGGTTTCCAGACATATAGTAAGCATATGCAGACTTAAGCATGACATCCCTCCAAGCATGTTGCGATGAGGCCCAAACTACAAGATCAATACGACTTAACAAAGATAAATCATATACTATTGTGTACGTAAATAAACCCCATTGATAGTTGGAATTCGAGATAAGAGTCACCATAGTGCCACTGTCCAGATGCATGGTGTATGTCCATCTTTACTAGCCCGGTTAGTGTAGGAAAATAGGATGCTAAACCTCATTTTATAAATATAAATCAGTGAACCCTTACCTTTACACTGATAACCTTGTTTATTTAAGCCCCTGAAAAAAAGAAGCCCAAGTCAAAATAAACATTACATTCTTAATGATTATTTGAGTACAATAGCATCAATCTCTAATTTCATGCAAATAAGTAACCCTTCAATTAAACTAACTGCTTTTGGAAGACATCATCACATTTGGAGCTAGAATGTTAATCACACTAGTCTACACAATCTGATCCTTCTCTCATCATCGTCTTGATATCAACTATATCAGACTCAAATGTAACAAACTGAAGGTAATGATTTTGAAAGATAGCTGCCGATTTGTACTAATGGAAATATTTCGAACAAAAACATAATTTTTTTTATTGAATTATGTGCAAAAACTGATACCTATGTAGTGATACTGCCGGTTCTTGTAGACAATTTTTATTATTCAACATAATAATGAAGAAGCAGTATTTCCGTTAATAATGAAAAATATTAACACACAGAATTATTTCAGTGCAAAAGCAGAATAGAACCTTCTCATCTATCTGATACACATTTCTACATGTGATTTGTCTGGGAAATAGACCATTAAATATAAATTGAGGTACTTAATATAACTAATCTGAACAATACTGACTTCGTTAAACGTTGTTATTGTGTACAAAATAATTTATCTGTTATAAGCTTAATTATAAGCAGTGTAAATTCGAATCAGTAAATAAAACTGGGACATTACTTTCATTTAATATTCATTTTTTTATGTTCTTAAACTACAATAGTGTCTAACAACATCTTTAAGAAGTTTGTTTTAAATTATCCAATGAAAAGACCCAAGGATGATTTTACCAATCCCAGTGATTACTATCAGACTTCATGGAGAGATGAGAATTGACAATTTTAAATCAAGATAAAATAAAGATCTGAATTTAAACAATTTAATTCATAACATATCTCTTCAGAACAAATAGCATACCATAATGTAAACTACAACATTTCTGGTGGGGCCTGGTTTAATTTTGGAGGTTATGACAACCTCTATGTCAGAAACTTCATATATAAAATCAAAACTTTAATATATTCTATTGTTACCAAGTTATTTATCAAGAATCAGGTTTATTTGGGTAATTATGAGACCTCTGGTGCTTCCTGATTTAACTTGATAAGATGCTGTGTGTTATTTTGACAAGAAATCTCCCGACTACTAGTAGTACTAGTCCACTTTACAGCTAGTTGAAGTCGGTATGTTAATAGTCTGATAATGTATGTTGATAACAGAAAATAAGCCTGAGCTAGAATTAGAACGACCACATTTTTCAATGTCAGCGGTTGCCAGGCAAGATACACCCACATTTTGCAAGAGATGGATACCCACAGCAGCTAAATGGTCCGGGCAGTCAACAAGGGTCGTCGCATATTTTTACTTTTTTCGGTAATGAAACATTCATAATACATTAAAATCTGATTAAGAGTAACAACTCATTAAGTAATTATCAGAAAACCATTAGAATTTGTTTGGTTTTTATAAAGTTCTGCCCCATGCTAACGTTTAGTATACGAAAATTTAATATCATGGATTTAGCTGTTCAAGTTATCAAAATTCATTGAAAATCAATATATTTGTTTGTCTCAAGATCTTAAACTCTGTGCATCAATCTGAAGTCAATCGGATGATAACTTTAGCCTCTAGAGCGTCACAAGATTTTTCAAAGTGATCAAGGGCCATAACTTTGGCAGTAACAATCGGAAATCGTTGAAAATCAATATGATTCTTCATCTCATGAACTCAAACACTGTGTATACATTTAAAGTCAATCAGATATTAACTTTGGCCTCTAGAGCATCCACAAGATTTTTCAAAGTGATTAAGGGCCATAACTCTGGCAGTAATTATCGGAAATTGCTAAAAGTCAATAGGCTTCTTCGTCTCGTGACCTTAAACACTGTGTATGAATTTAAAGTCAATCGGATATTAACTTTGGCCTCTAGAGCGTCCACAAGATTTTTTAAAGTGATCAAGGGACATAACTCTGGCAGTAATTATCGGAAATCGCTGAAAATCAATAGGCTTTTTCGTCTCATGACCTTAAACACTGTGTATAAATTTAAGATCAATCCGATATTAACTTTGGCCTCTAGAGCGTCCACAAGATTTTTTGAAGTGATCAAGGGCCATAACTCTGGCAGTAATTATCTGAAATCGCTGAAAATCAATAGACTTCTTCGGCTCATGATCTTATACACTGTGTATAAATTTAAAGTCAATCGGATATTAACTTTAGCCTCTAGAGCGTCCACAAGCAATGGTGGACGCCGGATGGACGGACGGGGGCGACGACAATATACGACCACATTTAAATGTGGAATTCGAACTCAACCATTATTAAGGTGTAACGGTGGTATATTCACACGTTTTTTAAATCGGATAATAATTGTGACCTTAGAGGGACCACAAGCTAAAAAGGCAATTTTTCGTACAGTCAAGGGTCATTTCAAGTTTCTGAAGGTAACCATTAGAAATTGTTGAAAATCTATTTGTCTATTTTACTATTTATGTGCACTAAGGCTCGACCTTACTGGTAGAATTAAACTCTGTGAAAGTAGATTCCAGTCCTATTACATCAATCTGTTATAATCTCAGCTGTCAAACTTTATTTTCAGTGCTGTTTTCTATGAAAGGTTTAGTCTAAACAATTTACCCAAATACATAATATCTATTTTCAGTTAAAAAAGATCATTTATTCCCAGACCATTGGCAGTTCAGCTTTGACTGTTCAGGGACCTAACTTAAATTCTATCAATAAATTAGATACTTATATCTTGTTTCATTACTTTCAATTTTCTATCAATATAGAGACTGTCATTATCAGAGCAGACAGGGATTACAACTATATATTCCCTAATTAAAATTTGTGCATGTAAAAACTTACCAACAAAAAAGATTACAGTGAGAGCAGAAAGTTGGCTGTCTAAAAAATTTGGCAATAAATTGATGACCTTTGATCTCATGTACTTTCTGTTGTTTAATAGCACCTCTTCTGGCAAATGCTTTAATTGGGATAGACGCCTCGCTGGAATTCATGGCTGTAACACAAAACAAATAAGCACAATAAAAGCATCTGACAAACATTACTATCAGATAAAAAATTGATGTAATGATATACATTGATGTGATCATACACATTGATTTCATAATACACAATTGATGTCATGATACACATTGATGTCATGAAATCTCAGATACAAAATCCCCAGTCAAATTTGTCTGCAATAACTTGCATTCTAAATTCTTTGGTAAAACAGCTATTACACACGAAAAACAAAATAAGGGTTTTTATCAGATCTGGTGTTCGACTATCTTCACTGATGACTCCCATTTTATCCCTTCAATGGGGGTTGGGTGATAGATCGTCAAGTCTGTCATTGAATCTACTGACTTGGTTTTGATCTTAAGTTTGTACATGACAAGGGTCGCCTTTCCAATCTCAGTTTCCTTCCCCTGCAGAAGAGCATGATGTAGAAGCAAATGATTGAAATAAAATTGTAACATATGTCAGTTCCGATATGACCTGATCTGTGTTGAGTGGTTGTTAAATCCCATTTCCTTTCTATATATCTACAAAATCTGATCCCAGAACATTGTCATATCATGTCCAGAAAATGGTTAATAAGGATGTTTTTGCCATGAGAAAGCGGTATTAATTGTGTAATCTAAATAATACATCCACAAAAAATATCGTAGACAATGCATATTAATCAACAAATACCTGATCTTTGATGTTTGTTAAGACCTTAACCTAATATAACTTCCAAGTGTACAGATCTATATTTAAATCTCTACTGCTTACAGAAACAATGACAGAGCCATGTAGTCATAAAAAGCTGCAGCACTAATAATTAAGTTCAGTAATATAAATGCTATTACAGTAACTTGAAAGAGGATATCAGTTCAGTATTTATCTATATTTATTATCACAGGTATCATGTAATTAGATCTTCAGCTATACAGTTACATCTGGGATATTCAAAGTTCAAATTAGATTTTATGTAAAATTTGCTGGAGATCTGACATGAATGTTTTAAGATTCAGTACAATGATTTTTTTTAGACCAAAAGTAGTGGATGGTCACACAAAATGCTTTTCTGTCGAATGAGTATGCCAGTTCCAGCATTTTCTACAACTGGGCGAGTCTAGGGTTATTTCGAAAATATAATCAAGCCTAGACATTGTCAGACACAAATTCAGACTTTTCATGCACAATCCCTCTGGCGCCCGATATTTGTCTGGCACAAATTTGTCTTTTTTCTGTGTTTTATTGATATTATTAATACATCTCTGGCACTAGGTTTAAAATGTTAGGAACTAGTTCATTAGTGTCTGACGTTTTGTAAGGTACAACAAAAACCTGGCGCTTTAACCATTTCATCATATATCATGGAAAATATCATTTTGGCCATGTGAACTATTAAAACAAATTAAAAGTGATGTGGGGTGTTTCAGAAACAGTAAGGATATGTCAAGACTTTTGCAGGGAACATAACTAATTATCCAAGCCATCGTGTGAAATTCTCAAATAGATGAGAACCTTTATTTGTTGACCTGATAGGGTAAGCACACCCTCCCATGTACATGCTACCCATTGCTATTTACATAGTTTTGTAAAACGATAATTTGGAGTTTGATTTCAGAATCCGAAGCTAGCAACACTGTAACCCTGGGACAGTGGTAGAATAAATTTAAGCACCTTATTCATTTTCATGTCTGTGGCTTTTTCAGACTACTGATTGGTATCAAATGAGGTTTCACTAGCAAAAAATTTATTTAGCAAATAATGCCTTTGAAATTTTTAGAAAGGTAATAAAAAGAATACTTTATTACTGATACCAAATTTCTAGTATTTTATGCTGACTAAATTGTGAAAAAAAAAAAAAAAAAAAAAAAAAAGCTGTTGTATTTTAGTCTTAATTGAGCTAAAAAAAAAAAGAAGAAGCATACTTGAAAAATCTGCCCTTTTCGAAATATGAATTTTAATAATTCTTCCCTTTCTCATCAAACGATCTTTGAAACAAATGTTCAATTAATGCATACCAAGAAATCGGTCTTTGACAATTCCTCACATATTTTTATCATTATGTTCTTAATTTACAGACTAGCAGCAGCTTGCAAACTTGACGTTACTTAAAATATCAGTTTCAACTAAGTATATACCTCAGAAATAAAATTACCTTAAGCTTAGAAAAAGTAGGAGGTATTTGCCAAAAAGCAACACATAATTATAACATGAGTCAAATCTTATACTAAACACCAGCCATACAACATACATACATACAGAAATATAGATATCATCTTTATCATGGGATTTATGTAAATGATGCTGCTGTCTATAAGTTAATGCATTGTTGATGTCCCAAGGTTACTCGGACACCATTATCTTTGACAGCTTCACTTTATATCACCATCCCTTATGGCTGTATTATGCATGAGACACATGCATCAACAAAAGTAAATCAGTTATTAAAAAATAAATTGAAGAAGTAAATGATTTCATATAACACATACCAAGTGCTTTTTTTGAAGAGTTATTAATCAAATAGACTTGTCAATTCAACATACTTCCTTGGGGGTAAATATCCAGTCCACTAATTAAGTCTTTAACAGGGTAAAAACTATCACTCTAATAACCAGATGAAATGGCTAATCCCACAGATTTAAGAGATATATATTCGATCTTCAATGATCAAATTGCAGAAAATCACAAGATTAATTATTTCTCAAATGCAAAACACAGCTAAACAACTTTAAAATTTTCCTCATCAGCTCACCAAGTCAATGAACAGATCATACGTGTGCACACATGTATGTGTAGAAAGGCATCAGGTTGACTATTTCTGGCCTTAGTATACACACATCCATTCACTGAGGTACAGTCAAAACAGTATAATATAGAATAAATAGCATAAAAACTCGAGCATTTCTGCCACTGTATCAATTTACACTGAGTTCAGCCACAAAACCTCACGACTGGTAGAACCATTAAATGATAATGCTGAACATTATAAATGAAACTGTGTATTAATGGTAGATTTTTTTTTAATCATACATTAAAAGTATTCTAAGTTTGCATTTTAATTAAGAAAAGGTAATGGATTTTGTTCCATCAAAATATCATATACATGCAGACTCATTCCATATATGTTAATCTACTGTTATCTTGCTTAAAGATATATTCCTTGGAGTTCAATTGGTTCGATCTTGAAACAGACACACCCAATTATTTTATGTTTGAAAATATGTTTTGTCTTTTATGTTCAGGAGAAGTAAAACTGCAAAGCTATAAAGTGTCTGTCATGTAATTAATGATATAAAAAGGAAGGCTATATAATCATAATCCACAAAGTGCCCACCATTTGAAGACATGAGGTAGATCAAACTGGACAGATTTTAGTCTGTGACCTAAAATCAAAAGAGAAAACAAACAGCAATGGCTGCTATTTTCTAGCTATTTAATCCGTAACATATATATTTTTGCACAATTTAGATATTGTAAAATAACCAGAGTCCTCATTGTTAAAGAGGGGTTGGTCCAATTCATGGGCTTTAGATCATAAGGCCTGCCATTGTGTCGACTGGCGTGATATATCGATTTCCAGTTTATATACAAGTGGCCTGTCTAACCTCATTGGTTTCTTCAGATCCTCCAGTTTCCTCCCACTGCTAAAGACGCCTAAACAAAAACAAATTATTGAAATAAAACTGAACCAAATGTTAATCCCAAAATGACCTAGTTTGTGTCAAGTGGATGTTAAACCCTTTCTCTCTTTCCTTAATGTTAAGCAAACACAACTTGAAAACTGTACTAAAATATATTGTCTTGTAGATTATTTTCACATGTGTAACAGCTTATAGTTATAGATATTCAAGATATTAATTCTAATTTTAAAACTTGTAAACAGAGAGAAATGACTATCAGATTTCGGAATCCAATAAGCTGCTCATGTCAGTGTGCCAATAGAATGAAATTAATTATTGTTTATAAATTGATACTGTCTGAAGGTTAACACAGCTGATTGCCTTTTGCATTTTCCAGACAATACCTAATTTTTAATGCTTAATTCATGCTAAAATGTAATCAAATCGTTTATGTAACATGTAATTAAAAAAAAAAAATGGACAGTAGATAACTATTCTATTTGGATTTAATTAGATCACAAACAGGCCCACCTGAAGATTTTACACAACATGACACTGGCTTGTTTATATTGTGTGTAGAGGGTGCTGAATGCCCAATTGTAAATATTGCAGCAATATACGTCGTCGATCAAATATGGCAAAGCAGTGCCATCGAATGGGTTAACACATCCGATGTCGGACATATTCTCTGCCCCAGATCTTGTTAGCCGGTAATCATCTAGATTTGTCTCTGGTGTATATTACTGTAATTTTCTAGTGGCTAGGCCTTCTCACCTTGTGTATTTATTTTTATAAGCAGCTAAAATGTTTATCACTCAGGAACAACAGTACAACAATTCGTTTTTATGTCAAGTACAGGATACATAGATTACAAGCATAGACTACATAAAAAAAATAACACATCTCTCAGCCTATCTCAAACCCCACTAAACTCGCCCAGCTAGTTACTGACGGATTCCACTACATCATGGCTCTCCTACAAAATTAAAGGGTCTACTCAATCCAGATGGTGTCTTTTGAACCTCAACGTGCCTAGACTTCCGCTATTAATTATTCAATTGGCCAAATTTATGCAATTGGTTACTTATGTCTAATGACGTAATCAGTAATTTTCCGATCACGAGTGTCAGACGGGATATCCTGTTTTTCAGCCAGAATTGAAAACAAATTAATTGCACTTTAAAAGCTAGGTTGCCAGGCAACGAAACATACGCCCGCAGCAGCTTAATCGCCAGAGCAGTCGACAAGGGATGTCGCTTATTTATTCTTTTGTAGGTAATGGGGGCATTTACCAGACAATTTCATACAGATCAGATCATAATTTCCCCTGTTTGAAACAAGGGCCTTAACTCTGGAAGTAATTAACAGAAGTTGTTGAAATTTGACAAATTTT